AAGTTTTCGAATTTCATGAGATTTAGCAAAAAGAAAAAAACAATTTAAAGTTTCTCGATTCTTTGATTAAGAGTAAAATGTGGTTAGGAAAATTCGTTCGAATTATTCGCATACTCTTTTCAAAAAATAATTCTTCCATTAGAATATTAAATTTTATAATCAGACGATGTGCTTTTTCTTCCCTTTTAAAAACGTGTTCGTTATCATTCGCTCCTTATATACTTTCTGTTTTTTTTTCTCTTTTTTTCTTTTCTTTTATCTATCCCTTTTTGGAGGGGGGGGGCGAAAAATTATATAACAGTATTTATGGAATATCAGTTGCGACATTACGATCAAATACGTTAACGATTAGAAAAAGAGAATCGTTCCGTACGAATTCATCAGAGAGATATTTTCTTATCACTTTTTTCTTTTTTCTTTTTTTTTTTTCCACGGGATTTCAACGCCATTTTCTCTTTGGAAGAAAAATAAAACACACATATATATATATATATAATTGATATTTTACATAGATTTGACGAACATTTTTAACGAAAATCAGTTGGTGGAGGGGGAAGAGTAACGGGGTGGGAAGTGGTAGGAGGAAAAAGAGAAGGAGAAGGAATACGAGGATGATGAGGACGACCTGTGAACTCAGACGTTCAACACGAATCATGCTTGAAAACGCATGTTGTTGAGATTCTCGCCTTTAAAAGAGGTCGCCGTATCCGCTGACGTCACAACGACCCGACGACCCCACCGAACTCCGTCCTATCGGACGATATTAACATAACGATTTACAAGCTCACGCATTCTTTTTAGGTTTCCGTTCATTGTCGTGGTTTTTCTTTCTCTTTTTTCTTTTTTTTTTTTTTTTAATGAAATACAATTTCTCATTATTAAAATCTATATTATAATATATATGCGTGTGTGTGTATTTTATCAGGTTTTAATAAAAATATGATTTTTCATGATAAAATAACAATTCAAATATGAAATAATTATATATTGATTTGTTAAAGTATGAAATAAGGTAATTATTACTAGGTAATAGAAGAATTAACGAATGGTTAATAGTTATGGTATAAAATTGAAATTTCATTCGTTGTTTATAGATCCAATTGAAAAGCACGAGTAACAGAATATTGATTTTTAAAATACAGAAAAAGATACGAAAAAGGTATAACTACAAACATTGTTTTAGAAAGAAAAAAAGGATACATTAAAGAAGGAATTATTAGTTTTCGTTGTTTATACGTTTAATTATTTAATTGTAATATATGTATGTATGTATGTATGTAATATTTCGATTAGATGCTCATGAACTCATTCTAAAAACCATAACCAGTTCGAGAGGGAAGTATGTAAGCTATTTCTCGTAACATCGTAAAAAAGAAAAAATAGGCTTCTTCATTTGTGTATAATGAAGATAAAAATATAATAGTATAATGAGAATTATGAAAACGTTTGAGTATGTACAAGTGTCTTTTCATTAATCGTATCGTTGAAAGAACATCATATTTTGAGGAATGTAGAATTGACAACAATGTAACAGGTGTTCTCGAATACGATAACGCGTTCCTAAAATATTAGCTAACATCAAATAATTTATAATATAATTGAAATCGTACACTCTTTTACGTTCGGTTTAGAATGCGATTACGTTCTTAGATCTACGTTGTATACGAGTACGTATTTCCTTTTTTATTTTTTATTTTTTTTTTTTTTGCGCTTGTGAAAGAAATTAATTCGTGAATTCTCTAGAAAATCAAAAATAATTAATATACGAAATTTCGTAATTATCATAGATCGCTTGTTTCGAAGAGTGTGCTAACATTTTTTTATTTTCTCACGTACGTAAGAATACGATATATATATATATATTTTTAAATGTATTAGAGACTTAAAAAATTCGAATAAAGACACAACAATAACAAAATATATATATATATATATATATATATATATAATATGTATATATATGTATATGTCTGTAATGATAACGTCGCAGTTATTTTTTTTCAAAAATGATGAGACCATTTTTATCTCGACTTTCTCCAATTACCAGAAGAATGAATAAAAATAAAATTGATTTACGATACGCGGACCCGCACAGATTAAATCCCAATTGATTCGTAAATAATCTTAAGTTTATTTAATTGTATTACATTTATATGGAATATCCGATAGAGCATTAAAGTCAGAAAAAGATCTTACTTAATCGTACGAATTAGAATATGTATATATATATATTGTTATTAAAAAAAAAAAAATAATAATAAACGTGATCACATAAAGTTACTATTGTACGAGGAGGATGCAATCAGAATACAAGGAACGGTCTATTTATAATGTATAATTTGTCAAACGCATTTTATTTCACGAAGATGATTAAAAATAGAACGTCAAAGTTTAATGACGAGTTTGTTCTAACAACTGAAGAGAGTTCCATGGGGGTGGAAGCTTAAAGTCGATAAGAAAAAGGTCAACGTGGTGAGATGTCGGGGGGCAAAGCACGTCGTTTATCTGTCCGGATTATATCGTCTTCACGTTCTTGTGGTAAACTTTCTTGCAGAATTCAAATTTACTAGCTGGCAACGTGAATTCCAAAATACCCCATATCTTACAAAGTATAGCATTATTGGCCAGCAAATAAGAAAGGAAAAATCAATAAATGGTATTTCGTTAGACTATGCAAAGAACGTTCTCTACGAAGAATAAATAATAATAATGATGAAAGTTTGAATATAACGTAAACGTTATGGTGTGTATAATATAATAGAGAAAAAAATTATCTTTATAAATTATTAATTATACTTAATATAATATATATAACTTTTTTCTTTTTCCATAAAAAATGTATACAATAGAAATAACGTGTAATATCCGATTTTCTATAAAATGTTATAAATTTTATGAAATTTAAGTACTACTACTCTTCTTTTTTTTTTCTTTTTCTTTTTCTTTTTCTTTTTTTTTATTTCTTTTTTTTTTTTGTGAGTCTGCCATGTATAGTGAAACGACACCAACGTTAGATGAAAAACGATTACGTGTTACATGTGGTTCCATACATACATATGTACGTGACGCATCACACATTCCATTGCAGCTTAAAGATATACAGGGAGAGTTGGAAACAGTGGCAGCTTCTGTCGCTTTTCCATTACCACCAGACCGAATATTAATTCTGAAGGTTTAAGTAACAGACGCCTTTAAGAAGCATACAATTAAATTTATTTTGATACAGGAAAAGATTCAAACAATTAAATTAAATCATAGTAAAAAATCTTTAAATAAAAAAAAATATTAATATATAAATAATTGTAGTATTATTTAACATTTTTTATTTTTTTTTATTTTTTTTTTTTTTTTTAAGCTATTCATTCTCACTTAAAAGATAATTATGAATGAACGAATAATATAATAATTGATGTTAATGATGCTTCCATCTAGTGACAAATGTATATACAACAAAATGGATAATTATTTGCTGTTAGATAATTAATTTAACGATCGATAATGTTATTAATTAAAATGATAACTAACTCCATCTGTAAGTTTTACATTTAACTTCTTTCGTTCACACAAATGAAAATACAATTTATTATTTTTCAAGAGTTTTTAAAGAAGTTAATTGAGAGCACGAATGTCAAGAGGTTGGAAGAAATTAAGTGCATAAATCTTTCAAAGAAGAAAATTAATGATCGTAATGCGATTCAAATGAGCTTTGAAATTAAATAAGAAAGTATATTTAACAAATTACGTTATTATAAATCTTCGTAAGTAGAAGAATCATTAATAATACCAAAATAGGAGGATTTCATTTAAAATTCTATTATATCAGTTGAGATGGTTGTACCCAAATAAAATAATTAATAATATATCTTACAGTAAAATGAATCTGTTTAGGACAAAAGTGGACTTGTGAGCTTTCATGTACTTCTGTATTCTTTGATAATAGAAAGTAGAGTTATTTATTGATATAACATGGATCTACATTACCGACAGTACATAATCCACGGTGGATGAAACAGAATTTCAAATGTTACATTGATAAGGGAATGCAAATTTGTTCAAAAAAGTCAACATCTACGAGAAAACTGGTTGTATTGATGATTTAATAGTTTCTATTGTTACTATCGAGAGCTCTTCTTATGTAAAATGAACGTTTCTATCCCGTCGAATGAATCAATGTACCCTTCATTGATTTGGATATTCGATATCTGCAATAGAATACAATGCTCTTCAACTTGTATTATTTATCGAAAAAGGGATACTAAGATAAAAATAAATAAAAAGAGGGGTAAGAACAAATAAAAAATAAAAAAGAAGATATAAGTAAACAGAAATAAGGTAAAACGAAGAAAGATAACACGTGTCTTTTCTATTTTTTTCTTTTTTTTTCTGAATATTAATCATATACAAATATACACACATTCCGCACGGGTAATTTTAATTGTTTGTATTCGGTATATATTTCTTTCATTAGTTAAAGTGGTTGTTTTATTCGTAGAAAGAAATGTATACGTGCGGACAATTTATTAAACTCGGCCAGAACGTAGGTGTCCGTCGAGTATGTAAGTATTATAAACATCATGTATGTATGTATGCATGCATGTATATATGTATTAGATGTATGCCACAGATCTCGCAATCCTATTCGAATATCGAATTTAACCTCGATTTAACCTTAAATAATGAATTATATGTTCTATTCTCCATTAAGGAGAATCATTCGTAACGTGATAAGGAATGTGACCTAAAAAGGGATAGGGGTAGATAGTCGTTCTGTAGTAAGGTAATTAATTCGGAAGGAAGGAAGGAAGGATGCAGTCAGGGAGAAAAAAGAAAAGAAAAAGGAATAAAACAAAATGAAGAGGAAAAGGGAGAAAAGGGGGGTAAGGGAGGAAAAGTGCTGCTTCTACCGCCAGTGAGTATTATTGGTACTGCTGCTCAGCATCCCCGGGAAGACTGGGGATGACCGTGTGATAACGTTCGTTGTGATAGCAACACGTCCAGCATCAGTAGGTGAGCTAGCGACGAGGAGAGCTCAGTTCGATACCGAACGCCAAAGCGTTCGGATCGTTTCTCATGATTATATATGCTGCAGCGGGTTGTTACGATTTTTCTCTCGTATTTCTTTCTATCTTTCGCTTGCATTCATTAGCTGTTCAAATACTTTAAACATATTTTTTATTTTCGTCATATATCTCGGTTAATCCGGCGATCGAACTAAAGTGTGAGAACCGATCGACCGATCGACAAATTAATCCGAGACACGCGTTCCTTTTATCCTGTTTTTTTTTTCTCTCTCTCTTTGTCATTTTAATTGTATAGTGTCAATCGTGCGTAATTTTACGTAAATATATGAATCGATCGTACGATCACGACGATTGAAAATATAAAACCTTGACTATATTCTATGTAATTTATTGTGCATCACATTTATCGTTAAATTATTACTTCACGGTGGAATACGTGGGATACTTTTTAACAGGTATGAGAATATAATAAATCACGTTTTAAAATATCATTAATCTTTATGGTATTTGTGTTGTTTATTATTATTTCGCTTGCGCGCGTACAATTCAATGGTAATTAATAAAATTGTACGGAAATTATCGTTAAGCTGTTGTGCGTTTATCGTAGTAGACGTTTTATCAAGTATCGCTTGTCATCAGTTTCACCGTTTATTGGGTTCTATCTTCTCGAGCGAACTAGTCCGCGAAATTTCTAAACGAGATTGCGACTTAATTGCATTCGTCCTAAACAGTTTCCCCCCTATCGTACGAGCAAACATCACCGTGAAATTTATATACTCGCGTAATGACATTATCAACGACGATAAACTCGTATTCTGATATATATATAGACATACACGGGAATTTATAAAGCCCCGGTTTGTCTTATGTTGATTGAGTTCGTAAATCTTTCGAACGTAGTGAAAAATTTGATCGATAAAACAACACGTGCTGATTCATAAGATAGAAAAAGAAAAAAAAGAGAAAGAGAGAGAAACAGAGAGAAAGGAAGAAGAAAGAAAACATTTACATTAATCGTTTTTATAATATAAAACATGAAAAAGATATATTAATAATAATATATTACATATTTGAGATACAAGAATTAACTTTTTTTTTTTTTTTTTTCATTTTTTATCTTAAAATGTTAAATAATATACATTTATGTATTTCCTTTGATTTTATGTTCTTTCATTTTCCCCTCCCCCCTTCTTATTCTTTTTATTATTATTATTATTATTATTTTATTATTTTATTATTTTGTTGAGAGAGAGAGAAAGAGAGGGAGGAAAGTAGTTCACGCATTGTTTCGTAGAACTTTTATCAAAGTTATTATGACTTTATTCGATTAAGTTGAACAATCATGATAGAGAAACACGATTTAAAAGTTGAAGCGGAGGTATTAAGTATTCTAGGGAATGAGTGGCAGAGAAGGAAAGAGGAAGAGAAAGAGAGTTTGAGGTTTATCGTTTAAGTACGCGTAACGAAAATAAATTTTTGATATAGTTACATGATATAGTTTGCGTTTCTATTACTATAACGCGAATGAGTTATGTCATTGTATTATTTTCCCGTTATTTTATTTTCTGCTGACGCGACATATCCCTCGTTTCTATCCTACGGGAAAATAAAAATATAGAAAGAAAGAAACGAGTATTACATTATTGATCTAATATGTCGAGAAGCTATCCTTATATAAATAACAAAACCCCCCAAAAAAAAAAAAAAAGAAAGGAAGAACAAAAAATATTTAAAGGGGGAAGAAAAAGAAAAAAAAAAAAAAAAAAAAAAAAGAGAAATTACAAAAGTGTCCTTTTCATTCGTCGATTTAAATTATTCCCAAAAACTTATGTTATTCCAATTTTCTTATCACTTTTCTGTTGCATTAGAATCTTTCCCCCCCTTACTCATTGGAATATTCTCTTCGTAAGGGAGGAAAAGAAAACAAAAGAAAAGAAAAGAAAAGAAATGGAAAGAAAAAGAAACAAAAATAAGAAGAAGAAGAAGAAGAAGAAGAAGGTAAAGGGAACGTAGATGAAAAATATTAAAGGTCGCGCGCCAATTTCTTATTAGCTGGATCTCCTTAATGAGTTTCGATACATAAATATTGCATAAAAAAGTGAACTCGAGTTTCCTTTAATAAAGATAGAGAAATAAAAGGGAAAAAAATGTCTCTTTAAATATATTTCTCTTTCCCTTTCCTTCTCTCTCTCTCTCTCTCTCTCTCTCTCTCTCTCTCACCCTTAACTTTTTATCCAACGGGTTCGAAGTAATTCACTTTTATTATTTTGCATTTATCAATTCCATTTCTCTCTGGCGAGAATGCATAATTAAGGTAGAATTGCGTGTTCGGTGCTTTCGTCAGGACGGGAAATTAGATTGCGCATAGGTGATGGTACTTGAAAGTTGTAAGGGGGAAAAAAAGTAAAAAGTGAGGTAAAGCGAGGTGGGATCGGGGGCGGGGGGACGGGGGGCTGGGGGAAGGGCTGAGGAAAGAGGAGGCAAAAATAAAAGAAGAAAAAGAGAAAAAGAATATGAGGGGGGGAGAGAGGGGGAAGAGAAAAAGAGAAGAAATAAAATATCTCGGTCAGATGTTTGACGGACGCGTATAGACAGAGTGAATATTAGAAAATGGTGGAATTGAATAGAAGGGTTTTTAATTTATTTTTTTCTTTCTTTCTTTCTTTCTTTCTTTCTTTCTTTCCTTTCATTCTTCATTTCTTTTCGACTCGTTTCCATTTAAATAAATAACAACGTTTTATAACAAGTAAATACGAAAGAGAGAGTTTTGTCGATCGTTTACGTATATCCTGTCACGTGTGTAAATACGTGTATGCGTGCGCTCCTGTGTGTAGATAGACGTCGTATGCAGATTATTTATAGTATTTATTCGATCAATCTTGCGTGAAATTTTTCACAACGATGAAACCTACCGTGATTAATTAGTAAGCATCTTTTTTTGCACGGAAGAATGTACACGATCCAAGCCAACACGGGTTAGCTACTTTAAAGTATATACACATATATGTATTGTATATATATGTATCAGATAAATTTATCTTCGTGTTTTATTTAAACGTTGCAACATTAAGGGTGCGTAATTTTATCAGTAGTAAACAGATATTTTTTTTTTTTTTTCTTTCAGATACGTTCAAACCAACAAATTTTCACTAACCCAGTTGATAAGGACAATTATTTGCGAGATTGTTCACGTGCGAGTGAAAAGCGTGAAAAAAAAATAAACGAAAAATGAGAAAAAATTTTTCTATAGTATACGTGGAATTCGTTGAGTTCGTTAACAAGAGAAGAGGTTTAATTATTTTATATTTTTTATTTTATTTTATTTTGTTAAAAATTATGAAATATAAAATAGATATGAAATACATTTCTATCTTTCTCCTACGTATATTTTCTTTCTTTCTTTCTTTCTTTCTATCCCTCTTTCATTTGCTTTCTTACGAATTATCGAAATCACGAATATTGAACTTGTTCGCGAAGGTAAAAAATATCATATAACATGAAAAAATAAAAAATAAAATAATATTGCATAGAATATTCGTTGAAATTAAATCGATACGAAAAAATAACATGTTTTCATTCCCATTCTCTTTCTATTTCTCTTTTTCTTTCTCTTTCTCTTTTTCTCTATATTTCTATCTCGTTCACTGTCTCTCAGAGTTATTTTCACATATTTTAGATAACCAGCATGCATCGTTCGCATTCTCTTCCATCGATGGGGATGCACACGTTACCAAATAAAACTGGTACAAAATTTCCCGAACAATCGGGAATTACTGGATCTTTCGTGATACTAGATACACAATTATTCATGATACCAATTCGAAAAGCAATATACGAAAGGCAAGAAGAAGCTTGATTGACTTTACCACGGCTGGTCTCGCGAGATAGAATCAAATTCATTGCCGAGATAGAACTTTTTAGGGTGTACAAGGGGGGAAAAAAAGAAGAAGAACGATACGAACCAATGCGATGAGTAACGATAAATGAAATTGAAATTTAATCGAAATTTCGGAGAGAGAAAGCGATGCTGTCGTGTACCGATCTGGGCCTAGAGGTATGTATGTATATATATATATATATAAATATACATATGTGTGTATTTCTATCTACCTATATCTGTGAATATGTGTGAGATAAATGTTTACTCTCTATTTCTGCCTTTTTTTTTCTTTTTTTCTTTTTTTTTTTGTTCTTCATTTTAATTATTTTCCTATTTCCTTCTTGTGTTCTTTTTAATTTGTGTGCAGAAAATTTAAAATATTTTGTTATAACGTTCTTTCGTACGTTCCATCATTTTTGTTTGTGTATTATTCATCTCCTTTTTTTTTTTTCTATCTCTTTGTACGTATTTCGCTAAAGTTTAATCTCTATTTAAAATATCTTTGTAAGCGTGTATTTTTTATTTTCCATTTTATTTCGCTCTTTTTTCTTTTTTTCTTTTTTTCTCATTTCTTTTACGAAGTATACGTAGGACCGCCAATTACGCAGTTGTCTCTCGGAAAGCAATATTTGAAAGCAGGAGAAATGTCTGTAATTATTCAACTCGAAGAACAAACTCGGTATTACCAAGACGCGTGACGAATGGAAATAGCGAAACGTTGTTGGGATTTCGGTTTTGTTCCGAAAGAACTGGTTCCGAGTGACACTTATTAGACTGCTTTTCGTTCAACCCTTATAAAGCGACGAGAAAAATAAAGAATAGAATAAATAAATAAAGTGTGGAAAAAGAAGAAGGATTTTATTGGGATTGCGTTTGAATATATTTTCATCTACAGAGATTTGCAGTTTATTCATATTCTTCTTATTCTCTCAGTTTCTTTTCTTCCCTATCTAACAGTTTTGAGAGTAAAAAATTTCATCTTTATATATTTAGTATATAAATCAAAAAAATTTTTAACGTTATATTTAATATTACACCTTAAATCCTTTTGATGGGGTTTTTTTTCTCCCTCTTGCTCTTTTTTTCCCCTCTTTCTCGCATGAAATCCCTTTGGATGATTCAAGTCAGTAGACTATATACCCTATATAAGGGATATTGTGAATTTGGAACGTTATGCAAAGTGTATAGGCGGGTTTCCCCTAATTTACAGGAGGTTCCTCTGCTATATTGCCTGAGCGTTGAATGGATAAACCAAACCGCCGCTAAAATCCGTCAATGGATTTAGGATGTCCTCTTCTCTTTACTCGGAACGATACCAGATATTACTACGGTGCTTTATGAGAGCTTCGCTGATATATAACAGGTTCTTTTCTCTAAACACACTTATCGATACTTCCTTGTTTACCGTATCACTTTTCGTCGCGATTTGTATTATACGTTGAAGCTGCTACAAAAGTAAAAAACGAAGAAAAAACGGTGGAAGACAAAAAAAAAAAAAAAAGAAAAAAATAGAAAAGAAAAGAAAAGAAAAGAAAAATGACAAGGGAAAAGAAAAAGCGATATTACTTTTAAGAGAGATGGAGTGTCCAAATGTAATCCACTTTGGGGGAGAGTTATTTACGATATCTCAAAATTTCGATCGTAATATTTTACATTGTTTAGATTCAATCTCATTATAGGGATATTTATGACATTGTACAGATACTTTTTTTATTACACGAAAGAAATAAAGAAAGATAATATAATTTATGCGATAGGTTATATTATAGAAATAAGAGGTAATCTTTTTTTTTTGTTTTTTTTTGTTCGTTACGATCTTACGTATTAAATAAAGTAGGAAGAAAATGAAACATCATTAAAATCCAATAGTAACATCCAAAAAAACGTTCGTTCATTATACGTGAATAACGTTTCGTTGTTAAAAGGGATTGAAGCTTGTTGTTGGATAGGATAGATAGCCTGATAAGAACGTATTTGTGAACAGGCAGTAGAGAACAACGGTGGCAACGGTATTAACGGCAGTAGGGGCAGGAGCCCATGGCTGGAAGTTATCTATACCAGTGGTGGTGGATCCCAATCGTGATCCTATCTAGATGCTGTCTACTTCTTACTACCGATAGCAACCTACCTTACTTATCGCAATATACGGAAGAAGAGTATTCGGAATTCCATCCAAATGACGACGAGGTAGTCGTGTTCCTTAACGAACAATGCAACGAGGAGGTCAATCTAACCGATATTCAAAGTCAGTTACAACAGCATTGGAGCGTGAACCTTTCCATCAGTATATTACCAAGATCTCGTGAGTAGTTATGACCGGAGGAAAACCTATATACTTTATATATATATAATACATATATATGTATTTATCTCTTATATTACATATAAAGTTACCCGACGCATGGTTATACTCTGTCGTTCTATGTTAATTAAGAGAATGTATTTTAGCATCTACTATAATGTCAAGTTACGTTGATATATATATATATATATATTGTATATTATGCAACGACTATATTTTAGATGGGGGAGGGAGGGGGGAGGGGGAAGATAATGCAATACATATATACAATATTGATTTAATACCTATTTTCCCCCCCAAGGAAGTTTTATGTCGTAATCAGATAAAACGTAGCAGTACCCTTACAGAGAAGTGGCGCAAACGCGTTAAAACTATTATTCTCGTCCAATTGATTTTAAACCCCCCCTTTTCGTTTGATCGTCGTTATTACGTAGCGTACTTTCCATTATGTCGCCGCTAGACTATATATATATACACCTAAATAGACGAGAATGACGCGAAAGTGATAAATGTTAACAGTGACCTGTGAAACGCGGTCCTGGGGTTTCGGCGCGCTGGTATATTCACTCAGCCAACCTACAACGAAGGCTTTGATAGCAGCACTCGATAGCTCGAGTTGCGAGTTTGTTTCAAAATTGGCCCATACTTGGAACAAGCCTCTATTCACGTGGACTTGTCCTTTGGTAAATAACATTTCCTATCTAACACCTAAAATCCCTTTCTATCGTTTCGATAGGATCAGATTGGATCCGATCCGATTCGATCTGATTAAAATTCGATTGATATCGTCAGATCGCAAATCAAATCTTTTCTATAAATCTTTTTTTTTTTTTATGAATTATTATATTTACAGAGAAACTTGGAAGATAGAAAATTATCGAGCATAGTTAGACTTTCACCGGCTTTACCGTCACTCGCTCAGGCACTCATAGAAATGTTTCTTCATTTACAATGGAATTCAACGGCAATCATTGGCACGGGTAAGACGATTAACGTGTTCGTATTTACTATCGAAGAACAACACGTGCTCTTCTTCTTCTTCTTCTTCTACTTCTTCTTCTTCAAAGTAACAACATCGTTTCTTTTCGAATAGATAAGGAACCATGGTCAAGTTTAGACAGGGTCGTGGTCGATGCTCTTCGAACTATCGGAATCGTGCCACGTTATCACGCGATATTACCGCAACGCGCTACCTGGAGTCAAGTTCGAAGAACTTTGAAATCTCTGCATTATATATCTCGCAGAGGTAAATATATATAAAAGAAGAAGAAAAAAAAAAAAGAAAAAAAAGGTCGAAAAGTAATTGAATAGTATTTATTTTATGTAGACTACAACAAAATTTGCACACAATCTATTCCGCGTGCCGCACCTGTATTTTATATTCGTCTTTCGCGAACTAGCGCTTAGTTTGCACTTATTCGCTGATCACATTATGAGCAGTAAACGAAAAAAAAAACAAGAAAAAAAAAAAAAATAAAAATTAAAGAAAAAAAACACAAAAGATATTCTATATAATTAAAAAATTTTTCATCAAAAATCTATTGTATATAAAACGATACGCTTTACAGTATATTTCTATCCTTCTCTTTCGCTCTCGTGTTCTATTTTTCTTTATGTGCGTGTTTTCTCTCTCTCTCTCTCTCTCTCTCTCTCTCTCTCTCTTTCTCTTTTTCTCTCTCTTTCTCTCTCTCTCTCTCTCTCTTTTTGTCTGTCTGTCTCTTTTTCTCTCTTTCTACCTCTATCAGTGCATCGAGATGAATTTAAAAGGATTACGGGCGAGATGGAAATGAGATGGAAAATAGTTTGCTATTCTATCAGATCGCGCGTAAGGGCAACTGACGCATATTATATGTAAGCGCATGAATTTTCGGCTCTCTCATCTTTTCTTTCTTTTTACAGCTACGGTGCTTTGCTTACCCCTGAACGACGATTCGACGAATCGTATTTTGACCGAGCTGGATGTATCACGGGATTCAAGCATGTTGACTTCCATGATTCTGATGATCCACACAGAAGATAATGATATGTTTCTTCCGCAGATTGTGCCTACAGCATCGCCAATTGAGACGCCCATTTCACTTTCATTTACAAGTACTCAGTCTTCCAACTTTTCTCCTTCAGACCTTCCCCGTATTTATACGATCGTAAATCAGAGAACGACAGAAGGGGGTGAAAAGATCAATCCATCTGAACGATACGTACCATCAAAAAATCTCAGTGGTACAACGTTAGACAATCTGCTTATATTGATGCCACTCGATCAAAGGTTAACGTTCTTTGTCATATAAAAACTTATAGGACATATTGTACATAATATATACGTATATGTATGTAAGTAAATATGTACATATTGACTATCGTTCGTTGCAGATATGATATTCAAGAAATGTTAAATGGCACCGAGTTTTACACGCGACCGACTTTAATCGAACGTTTAAATGAATCACTCAGCATTATGATGTACGACAATGGTACTATCAATTCTTACAATAATAAAATGTATACTTACATCGTAATGGATTGGCATGTTGATAAATGGGAACCTATCATGATGATCTCGGAAGAGAAGGAAAGATTTACGGTTAAAAGATTAACTACCAACGCTCCTGCATTTTTCACTGTAGAAACTATCGATTTTATTCCATGCGATGCCGATAACGATTGCACAGGTAAAATTGTTAGAAAAGTATCGAGTTATCGATTATGAAGATTTTTTTCAAAAGAAGATTAATGTGTTTCAGTGTGTGAATTAATAAAATATAATTTATTTATATAACAGTAGGTGGTCTAATGGAGGTATCCGTCCATGCTACACATATCGTAGCTGTCATTTTAGGATCCTTGCTCTTTGCTTTTCTTCTCGTTTCCCTAGCAATATTAATCCGGTAAATCTACATTTTTTCTTTTTAATGTTTGTTTTATTTATGACTCTTCTATAATTTACATTAATTATTAATATTTTCTATAATTTAATATAAATTACACAAAATATTATTACCTTTCATTGATTTAATATTACATATTTATGTGTAATTTAACGATATCATTTTTTTATAGAAAACAATTACTCAAAAATAGAATATCAGAAGGCCCCTATAAAATTATTCTAACGGCATCAGATTTCGTCTTCCCGCAGACTAATCACACGGATTCAAAAACTGTTAGTATTAAAATGCAAACTATTATGTAATAACGGTTAATTAGAAACTAGGACAAAAGTTCGAGCTCGTTAAAACATTTCACAGTGGTCTTTGTCGTCGGGGACTAAGTGAAAATAAATTATTTTATCAATCCTTTTAGGTCGATAAAGGGGTCGAAACAATGCTATGCTGCTGGTTGCAGCCGTTACAGGAGTTTGGTGGGCCAAAAGTTGAGAAACCTGATTTACTTCAAGTAGGCACTGTTGGCTCCCACAGGCCCTATCTTCAAACAAGTACTGGAAATTTAGCGAGACAAACTTTCTTCAAGGTCCGACGTGCTATGTATAATGTAAATACGTCTCTGTCTTCATACGCGTCATACGCTTACATGAAGATAGTGTTCGCTATTCATTCATGCAACTTATAAGCAACTCGGTTACCAGAGATCACGTTTTTATTATATTTATAATAATATACTTTTAAAAATTTTATTGATTACATACTTGGTAAACTGAATTGTTTGCTTAAATTGCATGAATACAATCCGCTTTTTATCGAAAAAAAAATTACAATTTATATATACATAACACGTTTATTACGTTTCTAATTTATTTAGGGTGATTTGGTTCAACTGAAGGAATTATCCTGTCAAAGTACATTCGAATTGAAGAATAAAACGATGGGCGTTTTAGTTACGGTAAACAAAAGAAAAAAAAGAAAATCTATTCTATCGAAAATAGAATAGATATTCTAAAAAGGTATAAATAAATTCCTGTTAACACTTTTATGGATAGATCCATGGCCTACGACACGAAAATCTTAATCCCCTTATTGGATGCCTGAATGAACCGACGAGACCATGCCTTGTATCGGAATATTGTTCAAGAGGATCGCTGGAAGATGTATTGGTCCAAGATGAGATCAAACTCGATTGGTCATTCAGATTGTCTTTGCTTACGGATTTAGTGCGAGTAAGTTTAACATTAGTTAAAAATTATTTTTAAATAGAATATTGATTTGTCTTTAACAATAAAACGAAGTCAATATCTTTGTTTTAAAACAATTCATGTCATAAAATGTAAAAAAACATACACTATAATTACACAATATTAACACATTACAAATTTAATTACAAGAAAACGATAATTGGCATAAAAAGAAAAAACATCGTTTTAAAGATTAATTGAATAATCCTTTTTCACAGACGTGTCATTCGATAATCCTAATAGGGATTATTAAAAATGCATCGACGCGGTGAAAATAATTGTAAGGGATCGAATAAAAATAACGATCACTTTATTTTTATGTTAATATCACACGATGAACTTAAGTAAAGATTAAATGTAGCATTAAATTTATTTAAGGGTATGAGATATCTTCACGGTACACCGATTAGGGTTCACGGTTACCTTACATCACGGAACTGCGTAATCGATGCACGTTGGGTTCTTAAGATTACTGATTATGGCCTTCCAGCATTTTATGAAGCTCAAAATATGTCACCGCCTTCAAAATTGTCTCGCGGTAATTAAAAAGATTTATTATTTAATTATTTGTATTATTTAATTTAATTAATATTATCATTTTATATTTCATTCGCGTATTACTTGGCAGATCTTTTGTGGACAGCACCAGAATTACTTAGGGATCTGAATCTTCGAAAGAAGGGTACTCAGTCAGGAGATGTTTACAGTTTTGGTATCATCATGCAAGAGGTCATTGTACGCGGCGAACCATTTTGTATGTTAGCTTTATCTCCAGAAGGTAAAAACAATGAATTATTTAAAACATCTTCCTACGATTATAATATGAAATGCATTTATTTGTTACGATTATGTACAGATATAATAGAGAAAGTGATGAAACCACCACCATTGATTAGGCCATCCGTTAGTAAAGGTGCAGCTCCACCAGAAGCTATTAACATAATGCGCCAATGTTGGGCCGAATCTCCGGATATGAGGCCCGATTTTAATTGTGTCCACGATTTATTTAAAAAACTAAATTATGGCAGGTCAGATTAAAAAATAACATAGTAATTTATTCCAATTTTTTTTTTATTAAAAATCAATTATCATGTTTTTTGTTTCTTCTTTTTCTTACAGGAAAGTTAATTTTATTGATACTATGTTCCAATTGTTAGAAAAGTATTCAAACAATTTGGAAGAATTGATACGCGAGCGTACAGAACAACTCGACATGGAGAAAAAAAAAACGGAACAGTTATTAAATCGGATGTTACCAAAGTGAGTTTTCCAAAGTTTCTAATATAAATATTTAAGGATAAAGAGACTGATGATTTTTTTCAGTTCGGTGGCGGAAAAATTGAAATTGGGTATTCCCGTCGATCCTGAAGAATTTCGCGAAGTCACCATCTACTTTTCGGATATTGTAGGTTTTACAACTATTTCTGCTCATTCGACACCTTTTCAAGTAGTAGATTTACTCAACGATCTATACACCTGTTTTGATGCAACCATTAATGCATATGCTGTTTATAAGGTAAGTGCGAACATAAAAATCATACTACATTCAATATTATATAATTTATTTTTTAAAACAACCATTATTTCAGGTGGAAACCATAGGAGATGCTTATATGGTAGTTGGAGGATGTCCAGTTAGAATTCCTGATCATGCTACTCAAGTAGCTACCATGGCACTTGATTTGTTACATCAAAGTGGAAGGTTTAAAATAAGACATTTACCACAAATGCAATTAAAACTGAGAATTGGTCTTCATACCGGTTAAGTATCGACAAATGGAATCAATTACCCGCGTAAAATAGAAGAATTATTGTAGTTTGATTTAATATCTTAATACTTATGTTATGTTTTATTTTTGTGTAGGTCCTTGCTGCGCTGGAGTCGTCGGTTTAACGATGCCACGTTATTGTTTATTCGGTGACACTGTAAATACTGCATCTAGAATGGAATCAACTGGTGCACCATGGCGTATACACATTAGTAAAGCAACGAAAGATCGATTAACGCAAGCCGGCGGATATAATATTGAATATCGTGGTACTACAGAAGTTAAAGGGAAAGGAAAAATGCAAACTTATTGGCTATTGGGAAAGGAAGGATTTGACAAGAAACTGCCAACACCTCCACCTTTCGGGTATAATTTCATATTTTTTTTATAATATAAATATAATTATTGATCATAAATGCATATATAATATAAACAGATTTCTATATTAACTGTTTATCTAATTTTCCTTTTTCTTTAAATAACTTATTTTCCAGTCTTCTGATAATTTATCTACTTCCATGCTATCAAAAGAGAGGATCATGGGTAAGTTAATTGTATATCATATTTTTTTTAGATCTTACAAGGAGAGAGACAAGTTGACAAGACACCGATTTTTTTTACATTCTACACAGTGGCATGAATGCATGTGTAACTTTCCCTTTTGTTTTTCTTGGAAACGGTTGAGTATTAGATCTTACTACTTGCACAGTGTGTGGTTCTGATGGATACTTACAACTATGTAGAATTTAAAAAAAATTGGTGTCCTGTCAACTTGTCTCTCTTCTTGTTAGATCGTTCAAATATACTAGTGATTTTAGAAACATATTTAATAAGTACTAAGAATAAAAGCATTATATTAATCCATATTTCAAAAGATTGGATGACAGCCTGGTAGTCAAGAGCTCATTGAAAGATGGACAAGCAGAATCAACAATTGCACGGCGTACGATACTCTCCAATATTAAAAATTATAGCGTTCACGATGAAGAAGATGATGAAGACAGTATCAATGAGAAAGGGAAAGATGATAGTAGTGCAAAAATCGTCATTGAAGGAAATTCTTCTAACGCCTCTTCATTTGAAACATCCGAAACGAAAAAAGTTAATGTATCTGTGCATGGTGAAAAAACACTTGAAACGAGTAATTCACTAAAATCAACAGAAGATCTGTTTGAATTGTTGAAAAATGAACGTATAAATCAAAAACCGACTGAAATTAGCGATCTAACTATTAAGAAAAGTACATCAAGTGATACACAAATTTCAAGTAATATACTAGCAGTATCTGATACAGAAACAACTGCAACAATGTTAGGCGCTTCAACTACTTCTTTGACCTCGATTGCTAGTTCTGTCGCTTTATCTTTTAGATCAGCTGCAGCAAGTAAACATCGAAGGTTCATTGGTGGTATTGATGAAAACGATCTCAGTACACCATATAATCGTTATAGATGTCTTTCTCCTAATGAACATAGTAAGTATATTAGATATTTATTATTTATTTATTACAGAAGGAAAAGAACAAATGCCACCAAAAAAAAGTTGCTTTTTTAAAAGTCTATATAATTCATTTGTAGCACATATTCGATTTACCATTTTTGAAATCGCATGTGGATATTACATTTGTGAGTGACTATAACTGTTCTTGCGCTTTCTTTTAATGTACATAAAAATACATGTCGAATAGCAAATATTCCCTTATTCAACTAATATTTTAATTTAAGGTGACATTCCTTGTTTTGCCTCTGTAACCTTCATTTGATTTTTCAATTCAATTAAAATAATTATTAAAAAATATGAACAATTTCAGACAGAAGTTCTAGTGGTCGGTTTCTGAAAAGGCAATTTAGTTTAGATAGAGGAGATGAGCCTGTATCTATAACAATTCAAGAGCCAACAAATCAGAGAACAGTTCAACGACTTTTTAAACAAAATAGTGCAGGAGCAGCTAATGATTTAGAAAGGATCGAGGAAGTACCATCTACTCCTGGGCATATTTCACAAAGATTTCGTCACACAGCTTCAGTTACGCTCTCCGTTGAATCTTTAACAACGCATTAAAATCAAATTATTAAAGTTAAAGGAAATGGTCAATATTTAAAATCATCATGTTATCTGTCATAATATTCAGAATTAGAGAAAGTATGAAATTGATTTGAGATATCAATGGAATATTATAACGCGTTCATTATCAAATATTCCTTTAAATGTGTCATATCATCATCGATCATAGTAATGCAGTATGATTCTGCAAACAAAATTTGCTCGATACATCAATGATTCAAAAACTTTATATTTACTGTTACTCTAGGATGTTGACAGGTCTAAACTACATTACTATATCAGATCGATATATAAGACTAAATGTTGTTTCGACATAACTTTCTCATCTCGATATGAAATCATTCTAAATGTAAAATATGTTGCATGTTATGTTATTAATTGTTCCTATGGTAGATTAATAACTTTTACAATTAAATATATAAACTCATAAAAGTACACGAAACATAACTGCAAACATAATTTAATTGAATTAATGTGTGGACATATAAGAGAAACAAAATCATTTTATGCTAACATAGCATTTTCATATAATTGCTTAATTTATTTTATTTATTAAGGTAAAATTTACAAAATGTATATAATAATTAATGCTTTGTATTAACAAAGTAATATTATTTATTTACTTAATCAACTTATTTATTTTATATGTAATTTTCTATTTTGAAAAACTACTATGTATCATTTGCATTCATTTTCATAGTATTATATATAAAGAATTATAAAAGAGAAATATATAGAAGACAATCGTTGAATGATAATTAAATGATCTACTTACTATTTTTACCATGAGATGATGTTACAATTTGAGAGATTACTGTTCTTTGATGTTACTTAATGGCGAGTATGATGGATGTAAATAATCCAGAATCTTTTTAATCTTACTTGTATGTATATTGTGTATATATTCACGTATTAAAAAATAATAATAAGAGAATATATTGTTTAATTCAAAGATATTATTGAATAAAAATATATATATACAATTGTGACATATAAATGTAATTACACAATTACTACACATACAACAATTGCCCCATTAATTGTTCATGAAAATAACTAATTGATTAATTCACAATCAGTGGTTTGGTCTTTTATCTCTTTCTTTTTTTTAATAACTTTTAGAAAGTAAAAAATAAAAAATGTAAAAACTTCCGCAACCGCACACGTATTTACTGTAGAGCTTTTCCCGCGAAACAGAGGAAAGTTTAAAAAGAAGTAAAGTTTGTAACATTTAAAAGATAGTCAATCCAAATAGAAAAATCTGATTATAAATATAATCTCATGAACGACAGATGCGCTAATATAAGTTAAATTTACGTTATAGTTGGGTACTAAACCAGTAGTTTATTTGTATTTATGATTGGTTAATGTGTCGAGTATTGAAGGTCTAACTTTATGAAAAGACGTCTTGCGATTGGTGGAAATCATATTCTTAGTTTATATTGATCATGCTATTGGTCAATTCAAAACTTGTTTAAAGCGTTCATTCGATTGAGTTTTGGGACGCCTACAAACTCTAGCTGCGTCCTTATGTGCAACAAAAGCCTTGGAATACGTTCGCGCATATATTTTCCAGTCTTTGCTTCCGATTTTGTAACGTGCAGTATATTCGACTAATGAAGTACTGATGTTTTTGGGCCCTATTTTAATTTGATCCGGGTTCATTAACGCGTTTTTTTCAGACCAAATGTTCATTTATTAACGGAACTGAGAAAATTTGGGGGGTCTGAAAAGTATCCACGAGTCTTGCTATTAGAGAGATAATAAAGGTTTATATAGTGCGACGAGAGGAAGAAGTGGAAGAAAGAAAGAAAGTTGTTGGAAGGAAAGAGAAACCAACTACTGACGTACCGCTGCGGTGTCGCATGGCCGTCGTGTACATTTCGAAATATATTGTCGCGTGGTATTTGCCGTGGAGCAGGTATAAACGTTAAAAAGAGGATTCGCACGTGGCTAGACGATCATAGAAAGGAACATACATATAAAGTGAGTCTATCGTGCGGTGTATATTTCGACTTAAGACTTATTCAAAGTACAACGTGTACACGTTATGTTGAGCACGTTCTCTGACATAATCTGGTATGAACTGGATCAAAGCAGAACCGTCGGTAAATGAATTGGCCATACGTTTCAGAAGCGAACCTGTGATGCCCGGTTTTCGCGAGGACGCGGGGCCACTTTAATCTTTTCAACTAAACTTCCTTCGAAAAATCTATCGACACGTATTAATTCAGAAGAAAATCTCAGAAGCCGCGAACACGCGACTCTACGCACAGCAATGTCCAACGAAGAAACTTCTGCCGACCGCAATGTCGAGATTTGGAAAATAAAGAAACTTATAAAAAGTCTTGAAATGGCTAGAGGGTAAGTAGGTCGACGGTAATTTTTTTTCCTTTAGATGCCTTTGGCTATTTTATTTAATATTCTGACATATGGTTTAAGTAAAACGTGATATATACATATATATATATATATATATAGAGTGAATTTGATTAAATGTTGCAATACATTATGTTTAGTAGTCTTATGATTTTTTAAGTGGGAATATATTTTCTATGATATTAGGAGCTTAATAAATTATTGTTTAATCTTCTTGCATATATTTTTTTAATGGTGGTTCTTGAAGCACCGTTATATCAAGGATTAATAATGCATTAAACAAAATCTGTCCTAAAGCAAACATACTGTTTGATTTCTTTCTTATTAAAATTTGTAATTTATTAGTTTTTTTGTTAGTTTTCTTTTGAATTATTTGTATTGTTTTTTAATTTATGATAATAATAGAATTAATTATTAAAGCTACTATCATCCTTTAATTATTTATGATATAATTAAATAACATATGTATTTTTTTAGGAATGGTACCAGTATGATATCATTAATTATACCCCCTAAAGACCAAATATCAAGAGTAAGCAAGATGTTAGCCGATGAATTTGGTACTGCGTCTAATATTAAGTCTCGTGTAAATAGATTGTCGGTGTTGGGTGCAATTACATCTGTACAACATAGGTTAAAATTATATACCAAAGGTAATAATATCTTTAATAATATGTACAAACTAGAAATATAGAGCATGTAATATTAATATTATTTTTGATATTTTTTGAATAATTATCTATTTTAGTGCCTCCGAATGGCCTGGTTATATACTGCGGTACTATTGTCACTGAAGAAGGCAAGGAGAAGAAAGTTAACATTGATTTTGAGCCATTCAAACCTATTAATACTTCTTTGTATCTTTGTGATAACAAGGTATATACAGTACTATTTTTACAGTTGCATAATAAGTGCCAAGTTTAGACTATTAAATTTATATGCAATCTTATATATTTGAATAAGTTATATTTTTGTAATACTAAAAAATACTTAAGTTTTAATTATTTTTAGTTCCACACAGAAGCCCTTACTGCATTGTTAGCCGATGATAATAAATTTGGCTTTATTGTCATGGATGGTAATGGCGCATTATTTGGTACTTTACAAGGAAATACGCGTGAAGTTTTACATAAATTTACTGTTGATCTACCGAAGAAACATGGTAAGTTTTTAAAGATTTTTTTCTAAAATATGCAATAAATTAAAAATGAGTAAATTTATGCTAATAAGCTCACTCTCAAATGAATGTTATTGTAAATTTAATTTTAGGTAGAGGAGGTCAATCAGCTCTTCGCTTTGCTCGGTTACGTATGGAAAAAAGACATAATTATGTCAGAAAAGTTGCTGAAGTAGCTACACAACTTTACATTACCAATGATAAGCCTAATATTGCTGGGTTGATATTAGCAGGAAGTGCTGACTTTAAAACTGAACTGAGTCAGTCAGATATGTTTGATCCTGTAGGTTTATATTTGAAGAATCATTTAAACAAAACGCATTTGTAAAAAAAATATAAAGCAAACCTCTTAATTTTGTTATTATTTTATTATTTCAGAGATTACAAGCAAAAGTTATAAAATTAGTTGATGTGTCTTATGGAGGAGAGAATGGTTTTAATCAGGCTATTGAATTAGCGGCAGAATCTTTGCAAAATGTAAAATTCATCCAAGAAAAAAAACTAATTGGTAAGATTATAATCATTTATTTTTTTTCCCTCTTGTAATGTATTATTTATTACTTATTACGAGATCTTTTAATTTTTGTTATTAGGTCGTTATTTTGATGAAATTTCTCAAGATACTGGAAAATATTGTTTTGGTGTAGAAGATACATTAAGAGCTTTGGAGTTAGGTAGTGTAGAAACGTTAATTTGTTGGGAGAATTTAGATATTCAACGATATGTTTTAAAAAATCACACAAATGCAGAAGAGAAAGTATTGCATTTGACTCCTGAACAGGAGAAAGACAAAACTCATTTTACTGATAAAGAGGTATAGTTAAAGTCCTTTGCGTTTAATTATTAATGAAATTAAAATTAAATTTATAAATATGCGTATATATAGAATTAAAAAAATATAACGATTAAATATGTAATTTGTGTGTGTAGAGCGGAGTAGAACTTGAATTGGTGGAGTGTCAACCACTTCTTGAATGGCTTGCGAATAACTATAAGAGTTTTGGTGCCACATTGGAAATTATTACTGACAAGTCGCAGGAAGGATCACAATTTGTCAGAGGGTTTGGTGGAATTGGAGGTAAGTTTTTTGTTTTTGTACATATAATAAATTTGTTAAACATTATTTTTCAAAGCAATTTATGTATTTATATAAATTGTGGAAAATTATTTGTATTACTAATATTCGTGGCTTCATATCTTATTTTTTAACATAAATTTAAAAAAATGGTTGTGTGTACATATAAACAAATGATAACTAATTTTTGTTTTGAATGTGTTAATAGTATTTTTAAACACTATTATTATTAACATTATTGGATAAGGTGTATTAATTAATTAGAATTTATTAACAAATGGTATTAAACATTTAAATGTTCTTTTTAAAAAGTTAACTTAATTTTTACAAAAGATGTGTTTTAATATCACTGTCAACAAAAATGTTAAAGAAATGACAAGGTAATGAAATGAGGTGCATTAATGTTAATTATAGAGTATATGTTCGTATATAGGAATCCTCCGCTACAAAGTTGACTTCCAGTCACTGCAGGCCGATGAGCCTCTTGATGATGTTGACCTCGATGATTACTAATTTCATCCATGAGATATTCAAAGTCAACCAGGTAGCTGTTTCTCTGTCTTGAGTGCATTCATGTACACTTTGTGTATTATAGATTATTATTTAGAAAACTGGACAAATTTATCGAAATGTTAGTGTTAATCGGATGCATATTTTAAATTATATGTTTTTTTTATATTATATACTTAAAAATTGAGGGGTTAGTACCTATTTCTTAGTACTTGTCATCTTATTATAATTATTGTTAATACCAAAGTTATTTTTATTGGCATTGTAGTATTTAAAAAGATTTATCTAAATTATTCTTTCTTGAAAACTTTAATATTGATGTTAACAAAGATTAATTGACTTTATATAATTATTGTTCTAATAATCATATTAGATATATTAAAATATATGTGCATTTCTGTATATTATAACTCTGTACATATAACAACTAGGAAAATACGACATTCATATTGCATGCCCCTAATTTTTATATAGTAAATTTGTCCAGAATGTTTACAATTATTTTGATTGAGTTTCTCACTAAATAGTTTAGTTTTGATTCTTCTGTACAAAAGTAGTACATAGATGTCTCTTGCAATGATTTTGAATGTGGATAGTGAAATCATTAAACACACAAAATTCAGAGATAAAAATTTGCATTCAGAGATGTTACTGAATTTTAAAGATGCTTTTTTGCCTAATGGTTTTCCTTAATTAACAAGGTGAATAGAAATGTAAAATAGGGGCTAATATAATCTTTTACAAAACATTCTGAATTTAGACCATTACATTTGTATCAAATTAAATAATAGCAAAGAATTAAACACGTAGTATGGTACAGTTTTTTCATTTATTCTTATTCATTTTTGGTATTCTCATTCACTTTTTGATGAGAACTTGAGTAATGAAAAAGATTTAGATGTTTTATTAATGTATATTTAGAAGACTGTTTTTCCAACATGGAAATGTATATTTGTTTTATATAGTTCAAAAGTTCTATTTGTTTATATTAATATTATATTTACAAATAATTATAATAAAGTAGGCCAACGTATAACATGTAGGAATATTGTTTAATAAATGCATTATATATATATTTATTTACATATTATCAAATGACCACAAAGAGGTTTTAAAATGTTTAATTTTTCTATGTTTGCACATGTAGAAAGAATTATACACGAGAAAACAGATTCGTCAATATTATTTAAAAAAAAAAAACAACTATTTTTTAGATGAATGTGCATGTTTATTCAGAGTAATTAAACTCTTGTTGTAGAAAAGATGTAATGGTTTCCAAATTGATAAGATTCTATTAATTCTAATTCATTTTTATCATATTAAATATTTATGTATGTAAGTATACACCACAAAGTTAAAGCTATATGAACTAGATAATGTTAAACGGTGATTGCAAATTTAGTAAAATTATTTCACTATTACAAACATATGTATTTGTTAGATAAAGAATATACAAATAGTATTATTTCTATAGACTATAAATGAAAAGTCTTTTTGTTGTGTGGCCGCACATGAAAAAAATCGTTTTAAACTGAACGTAGTTTTAATTTCTAATATATAACAATTGCACTGCATAGATATATTTTTTGAATGGATTTATAAAGAAAGAATTTAATGCATCTTTACAGTACAAACAAAGAATGTCTGCGATATCACGAAGTTACAATCTAGATATTGGCTTTTATTATAATAAGAAGTCAATAGTAAAGAATTTAAGGAAATCTGAGATTAGATCTATCAAAATTGGTAGATTAATATTTATGCTATAGTATAATAATTCTCAAATAATTCATATAGTAGTTATAATCTTATAATCGTTGCAATTTCTTAATCTGTAAGATACACAAAGTGTAAAGCCATTTTAATGCTTGTTTACACTTTTACTGTACTAAAGAAAGCCTGTTTTAATAACGCGGTATGAATTCACAAAAAAGCTATTCTAACTAAAGTCTGATTATTCAAATGAAAATTCGTTGACTCACATGAATAATGAGTATATTAAGAACTTTACTAATAATTATTATCTTTGTTACCCTTAGGGGAACAACAATTGTAATTGTACTAATAATTATTAATTACTGATTTTCTTACAATATAGTCTAGATTTAAAATGCATCCTTGGCATTTTTATAAAAAAAACGCCAGTGACTATCACAACAGTGTGTAAGTCACTTGTTTTAAATAAATAAAGGTTTTATATATTCTGGTTGAGATATGAAGCTTCTTTGTTAATATTATCCTATATTTAAGAATGTTGTGTAAATCTATTTTACATTCTAAGTCTTTTTAGCAATCACCATAACTATAACAAAATAAAACAAGTTCTTATTTTTTATTTAACTAACTTTTATTTTTATAAATGAGAAGTTGCATTATTAGTAAACCGGTGACAAATTTTAGATAGATTCTATTTAAAGCACACTCAAATATTAAACAAATTTTATTATTTTATACACTTTTTCTTGTTTTATATTTCTACATATTCCTTTAGAAAAATGTGTGAATATTTGTTTTTATATTATTTCGTTTAAACAATGTGGCTTTTGCACTATGTTGCTATAATTACTATCTGATGCTTAATATATCAAAATGCTAGCTTTATACTTAGTATTATAATATTTGGAAATTTCAAATTATATATATATTTTCCAAATTACATCTAAGTTTAATTTTGATTGCATTTATTTTATTTCGTATTAAAATTAAGCAAATTATTTGCTGTATTTATTTATATAAACATACATTATATTCTGGCATTCCTTTCACAAATAGTAAGATATACGAATATACACAATGAATTGATTATTAAGTAAAATGCATAAATGAAAATTATTAAGTATCGCTTGTTGCATGCTACGCTATAAACAATTATAGATTATAAATCCATTGCTAAAGTAACAATAACAGTGTTATAGTTTTATTAGTTTATCTAACAGATTTTATAATGGTTTCTATTTATTTTTTAAATTTATTGTATTCAAATTGCTTGAATTGATAAAGTACGAGTTATGGTATTTTTTTAATAAACGTGTGAAACTATAGGAAAAATATAATTTGTTTTTTTTTTATATTATTGAGATTATTTATATTGAACTAATATTATGATTTTTGATGTCATGTTTACTTTAATAATATCCATTTAACATAAACTTATATTCATGTTAATACTTTGGCAATGGATATAAATTATAAATAATTGTAACATTCTCACAATGCTTAACAGAGCTCCTCTTTTTGAGAAGTACTAATTAAAGTCTTGTTTCTGTTAGCTCGCATACTGGGAAAGGTACAGTACTTGCTTTTTATTAAGACTAGTAACAAGAAAAAAGTAAAATAATTCTTTGTTTTTTTAATATTTTAGAATGTTTGGTTTTTTCCGATATTTTAGAATGTTTATTTTTCTAATATTTTAGAATGTTATACATTGTATGCAGGGAATGTTTGGTATTACTACAATGTAGAAGTATTATAGATCATGAAGTAGCCAAATATTTTAATTTTTTATAAATATAAAAATAATTAACTTATTGTAGAAATCCCTTTTAGCAGCTATTAGAAGCAATGGAGCAATAGTTACTTACTGCCAATTTACAATGTAAATTTTATATTATCCATTCGAATAATATTCATTATTAAACCAAAACAATCCATTACATTATGTATAACATTCACATAAAGTAAAACTGTATAATGTTAATCTATATAATTATTATTCATGCATTGAATTTTAACTTTTAAAAATATTTATTTTACATATCATAAAAATAAGTAGATCAATTTGTTTTATATATATATGTATATATACATATATATATAATTTTGTTTTCTTTTTATGTTAATGGTCTTAAATTATTATTGTCGTTTAAAGAAACAGTGTTTTTCTAATTTTAATATTTCTTTAATATCAAATGGAGTTAGTATAATATCATAAAAAAAACTTACAAAAGCACTGTTATTACTAACATATACTTGAGTTAAAATAATAACAATTTTTTATTTTTAACAGATATTTATATATGCACTAATATTCAATGTATTATTTATTTAATGATAAGCATTCATATGTTGTTTTGCAGGTATTCTACGTTACAAAGTGGACTTCCAAAGTATGCAGCTGGAAGATATTGAAATTGATAGTTTCGATCTGGATGACTATTAAATCCCTGATTTGACAAAAACACAATCCTCTTAGCTTTGAAATGGAAATTATTACGTTCCTCTTTGCATTATATTTCAAAAAAAATATGCAAAGATGCACGTTACAAAATAATTATTTGATGTGGTACATAGGGTATCATCAGGAAATTATTGTGAACATCAAGCAGCTAGCAATTTATTACACAGGGACAGTGCGGCAAAATGGTGCGTTGGTAACAGTTGATACCTGTTAAAAACAACAAAGGCAACTCGAAGACTGTGACACTTAATTAAGCCAGCTTGATATCTGCCTACTCCACACATTACCTACTATGTTCTTTGATTATTCACATGGATTTATTTAATTACTTGCTCAAACAATGGTACCATGTAGAATTGTTACAGCATATGATTTGAGATATATCATTTTCTATCACATCGATGTTTATCATCTTGTCATCGTGCTATTAAAAGAAAAAAAAATGGTTATCAGATGTTCATAAGTACAGTTCTAGCATAATTTTTGTTCACATACGATCATAGCTGAGCTGTAATAAACTGATTGTCATAAACTTAAATGTGCGTATCGTGCATTCTATACCAATTGCAAAATTCATATGAATAATAAAAAGCTCTGTACATATACATAAATTTTTAATGGCACAGTTGCCTTAGGAGAAACAAAATCTTTCCGTCTTAATGAGTGATACACATACAAATGTAAGAACAGTTTCTTAAAAATTGATATTGCTTTATTGCTGGCTCGCGATTATTAGATTTTGTACACCCAAGACTGTACATAACAAATGCTTTATAAGCGTATCAATCTAATCTCTTAATTGTTGAAGAGGTACGCCTCGATGGTAAGAATAACAAAAGAAGAAGTTACTAAAGATATTACAAATATTATAATTAAATTTTTAATTTCTCTTGCTTATTTGTACAATGCCTTTGTAATAAACAGTACTGTAAATGTATAAATGTGAAGAGAATGCAATGTGCGATGTTGGCAATGTTTTCTTATATAAAAAAAAAAAAAAGAAAGAAAAAGATAAAATATTATAAGGAATATTTTTTTTTAATGCTGTGAAATTTTCGATAAATGATGACTCTGTTCATATATTTCATTTGCATTACAATTATTCTGTGCAAGGCATACATCCTAAAGTACTATTTTACGATGAGCAAGATTAATAAAAATATGATTTGCTGTCGTGTACAACGAATTTTTAATAGATTTAAAAAAAAAAGGTAACGATATATCTATTTGATGATAGTCTTTTTTTTTTTTAAATTTAAATGAAAGAAATTTTTGAATGTTTAAATTAATAGACTATATAATATCAAAGATTTTAAAGAGGCCGTGATTTAATGTATCTTGGATAAATATAACTAATATAATTTTCAAATATATTTTTGAACAACAAATACTTTGTGTTGTAGGTGTCTTAATATATTATGCTTATTTTGTTTTAAAGAAAATTTTTATATTAATTTTGTCTTCAACATTTTTTAATGTCGTGAATTATTTGTTGGTATAAAGAATTGCAGAAAGTATGATTTTAAATATACGTACAATTTGGATCACTATTGAAATATTGTAGAGAGAATATTAAATTGCGAAATATATATACACACACACATATATATATGTGAAGTTTTTTAATTAGGCATAATTTAATTCGGAAGAGGATTAATAAAGAATTATAACTATAAAATTCATAAACATTTGAATCATTTCGATGAGAATGGATATTTACACTGCCGAATAGAAAATGACGCAATAAGGTATCGCCGAGCACAATATCTATTATAAAAATAAGTTTAATTTGGAACTGTTCGTTGTTTACATTACTATTAGCTCATAAAAATACATTTAGAAGTTCATAGATTATTTTCAAACTATTTTAATATTACAAATGTATATCTTACTCGATCAACGACCAATTAACATTTAAAACAAATGATCATAAATGTAATATCTCAATCATCTCATGATTTATTATCTTTCATTCGATAATAAATTTCCGTTCGATAAACGTTCATAATAATCATGAAAAAAACAAAAAAAAGAAAACAGAAAGACCAATAGACTTAATTTTTAATTTTGTATACAACATTATATTTATGCAGAGGAGCTTTTTCGTACTAATATGTACGAATTATAGCCTATCACGAAGAGTCAAGGAGCATATACTTTTATATATTCATTCAAACAATTCACCATTGGGTAATGTTCCAAATGATAAAATTAAACATCAAATTCTTAAAGGAAATATGTTCTTTTGATAATATGCAATAAATGAGGGAAAGTATTCATTTAAGGATTTAAATGGAAAATATTGCCGCGCAATATTTTGACAGTGCATGGCAGCTGATACTCGATTGGCTACTAATTAAACCTGCAGTAACCACGTGATCTTCAAATGATACTACAATATAGTATCTTCATTAACGTTATATTACTGTGATTAATAAATATATTTGATTTAAACAAAAAGAAAAATGTTTGTGTGAAATGATTTAGGTGTGCCACGAATAATACTGTAAATTGAATATGTATATATATATAAACAATTACAAAAGAACGATTTTAAATGTACAAATAACTCTAATATCAAAGTTTGCACATTATGTAGGTACGATGTTGCTATGTACGGATGCTCTCAATATCATACATTCCTCGAGTTCAAATAAATATATAATATTATTCATACATTTTTATATATATATATATTATTTGTTTAAACAAGTTAATTATTGTTTTAGTAAAATTTCGATGTCAACCACGACCAAAGTCTTGTGTTTCACTGAGCTGTTTTCATTTTTAAAGGTAAGTTAAATCTTGAAATATTTGTTATTTTTTGTGCCATTAACAACTCGTAATTTCCATCTGTAAATAAGTAATCAACTAACAAGTACCTTACAATGATTTTTACCTTTTTTAAACTTACTGTTTATTATTTATACTCCTAAGAATTGATTACATCAAGATGTAGATAAAATATACAGAGTATTTCAAAAATTACTCTACTATTAGAAAATTATAAATATTTTTTTTTAATAGAAAAAACGCAGTATTGAAATGAAAACTATGTGTTAAGAGAATTCGTACCTTTGGACATTTTATTAAAATATACATTTCATCCAAAATACAAAAGGAAAAGATGTATTTACAGTTGTCCGTCGAACGTTATACATAAGAATGATACTAGTAACAATGCCAATATTAGCAATAATAGTAAGAGATATAATCGTTTAATAACAATATGTTACTGTTTCATTAATATATATACTATATCAATGAACAGCGGCAGATCGATGGATTGAGTTTGATATACTCTAATATGAAATCGTTTTCCATGTTAAACGATTCCTAATTTATTAACAGTACTATATATTCTCTCTCTAATACAATTGGCCTTTTAACCATTCTTCTTTTTAGTCGAACCATTGACGGACTAAGAAATGACAATTGATACCACATGAATTTTACGGATTGACTCAGCTATCGTAAACGAACAATGTTGGAAATAAGAAAGCATGTATATTCGAGAACTATTGAGAATGAAATATATAATAAATAAATCATTACATAGGATTGATAATAGAAACTATGATAGCGCAATTAATAATTCGTGATTTGTATTATTCTAGATGAAAAATGTTCGTTATTGTATTTCAAAATATCGATAATACATGTATTTACTGCATTTACATATTTATGGATAGATTTCAATGATTATTTTGTTGCATTCTTTTTTTTTTTTATTTAGGAAGTTAAAGCTTAACAACAAGTATTAGATAAAATAATTTTTATCAATATGTCATATATTGTATCTTTCTTAAGAATATTGTCTTATTTTCTGGATTTTGTTAAACGCCTTAAACTTTATTCGAAACATGATGTTTATTAAGTTTTCATAAATCTATCATTTTTATTTTTCTAAAAGCATTTAACAATCATGTAATATATATATTTTTTTTTACACGAACAATACCAGTTTACCTATTTACTTGCCGAGATTTCGTAAAATCATGTAAGTAAATTTATCTAAATATTTTTCTTTTGTCTAAGAGATTATTTTTTTAAATATTTCAAAATATTTTCATGTATATATATGTGTGTGTGTGTATGTGTGATTCTGGTATTGTACATTTTGACATAACAGCAATCAAAATTTAATTTTTTTTGTTGCGTTATACATATCTCTTTTTTAAAATACTTCTTTAACTATTTGTATCTTTATCCCGGTTATAATATGTATATATTATATTAATTAGAAAATCATATAATAAACTCTGCAAAGATTTATATAATATTTATAAAGAGATCTTGATATGTTATAAATCAAGCATTATATTCAATAAAATTCATATTTGAATTTGAAGGTCAAATGCATCACTTCCTTTTCGTAAAAATATATTGACACTATAGAATTCTCATAAGCAGTAACTATATGCAAGGCACTATTAAGGCCTACTTCTCATCTAAATAAAAAAAAAAAGATTTGTTTTAAATAAAATTCTTCCATTATCACATATAAGAAAAAAAATACAATTTTAATAGTAAGTAGAGCATATAACTAAAAATTTAGTACCCTTTTCTTTCTAAAGAAAATAAAAATCATTATGTGCAACAATGTATAAATATGATTATATTTCTTTAATATCCTTCTGTTGTCCGTTTACTGCTTTAGTCATATTTTATATCTAATTATGAATAATACTATATCAATTTGAAAGTTGCAAAAAATCAATTTTTGCAACGAATTATACAATTTTGTTTCTTTTAAATGTATTATGTTAATTTAAAAATAATTTCTTTATTTATAATTTTGCTTACTACGAATTGCAACATTAACTTATTCTTTTGTTAGAATAAATACCAAAATTGGATATATAAAACTTTGTGACTATCCTTATATAAAAATTCAATGCGAATAACAATAACTACATTTTCACAATAATCAAATTGGCAAATATTAATTTCTGATCATGTCTCTTAGCCAATCTTATAAAGTGTTACTAGCATTCCACGCCCATTATTACTTGTATGCAAGTACAATACAAAGGCAGTAATTTTGGAATGTTAACAATACTTTGTAAACTTAGCTAAAACTTAAATATGAACATTGGATATTTTTCTATTGCAGAAATGTTAATAACATACAATAATTTATTTTAATTTCAATGAAACATATATGCCTTCGTTTCATTTTTGAATAAAATTAGTGAAATATTTATATAAAAAAAACTTATAAAACCAAAATCAATCAGCCAATTTTCCATAGTAAAATATGGTAAAATATCTTTCTTTCTTTTCATCTTCTTCTTTTTTTTTTTTTTTTTTAAATATTCCATTCATTATTCAATCTCATTTTATGATATGTTTGATCACAGTTATGTGCACATAATATTAGAACATAATAATATAATAATACAAAATGATTATATATATATTAGTGCTATTGGATACTAAATATCTTTACAATATTTGAGTTGAATATTAGGACCTAGACAAAGGGTTTGCATGATAAATAAAAGGTTACTCTATAATATCCTACCCCATTGTCTCAATATAAGATACAGGCGTGTGTGCGATTACAAGCGAAAGAGTCAATACAAGCACATAATAGTAGATGCACATGTTTGATGTTTCTATGAATTTACTATTTTCTTAAATGTTAAATTTTAAATTAAAGCTAGTGTACACAATGTATGCTAGAATAAACGAATTTTATGTCTTATCAGTTATCTGATTAAGACATTATGCGCTATTATATTATTTTTATATTAAGCTTTACTAAATTATGTACAACCTGTTATATCGTTTGGTACTAACCACCTTTGAACAAGCAATAATAATAATAATAATAATAATAATAATATTTATGTCATAATTTGCACAGCAATAACAACTCTTATCAATTGCATCATGCAATTTTTCAACATAAGTGTTATATTGCAGAAAAATCCAGAGAGAAAATATCTTGGTTTAAAAAATGAATGATCTATTTTATGTATATACTTATGATTATTAATAAAAATATTATGTTATACTTCAGAATTTTTATACGAAAACATACTTTTAATCTTTAAATTTATAATTTTTATACTAAAATTTTGAATGCACTTGCAAAGTACATTGTTATATATATTTCATTTTTTTAGGTGTTATTATTAAACTAAAATGTTTTTCTCTGCTGGTAATTACGTATGACAGAAATACTTCATAACTGCCCTCATAATTATACTGATACATATATACAAATTCTATTCATATTTCCCATAGACACCATGGACCACTATAAATAATACAATTCAAATACTAGTTTCCCATCACTGTTACTATATCTAATATTATATTAATTATATTCATTAGAACAATTTTTTTTACAATAACTATTATTTATCTGACTGTACATTTTTAATTTTGTGCTATTCCAAAAATATATGATTATAGGGATTAATTGACACCTGCATTCTATTATAGTTTCGTTTATACTTATCTGATTAAATATATCAGAAACTTTTAGAGGCAGTTACATACTACTACATGCATGAACTCATTGTTATGTCTAATCAATTTTTTTTAAATAAAAAGTATTGTAATTTCAGTCCATGTTTGTAATAAAAAAAAGTGTTAGGAATACTCCAACATCATCTTATTTGTGCATTTATAATGAAAACAAAGCCTTAGACACAAATATATGTATGTATTGGGCAGTGATGGGGTATGTTGGAGATAATTCTGTCAGTATAAGAAATCTGCAAACTTATAATCAATCCTGTGAAATATTAAAAATATAAATTTAAAAATGTTTTTTGTTTTTGTTTTTTCCATAAATATCATTGCATTGAATTTTTCTTTTGTCGAATTTTTTCTATTAATATAAATTTTTATTTTTATTTAAATATAATATTATAGAATAAGAGAAAAAGAAAAAGGTTTCTTATTTATATTCGAAAATTTTGTGATGATTTGGAGGTATAACGAATACACATACCTTATTATTCAACAGCAAATCCACAAGTCTCTTCAACAGCTTGTGTAAGTTTATCCAACATTTTCTGATAACACGGATAACTTTGTGGAATATCTATCCTGTTAAAACAAGTATGTGCTTTTGGCAAATTTTCACTAGGTGCATCTACAGCATGAATTGTGAAAAGACGTGGACCTGAAGCTCCTGTTGAGCCTTTAGAACAGAAATAAGCAGTTCATTGTAATAATGCGTTATTGTTTTTGTTTTCTTTCCATAACACATCATTAAGCATTACCTTGTAAAGCTTTGAATCCTTGTAATGGGACTCTCGAGCTACCAGTAACAAATTGAAGTAATCTTGCTCTCATTTCTTCTCCATACGATTCAACTATTTGCCAGAACCATTTGACTACAGGTGTATCGGGTGTACAATGCTTTAATCTTGTATGCATTTTCCAATCATTTATGTCGATAGTACCTAAACCTCCGATAACTAATTCCAATTCACGTTCGTCGAATGGTCTTAATAATGATGGGGGAATCAACTCATGAAAACCTTTTTGTAATGCTAAAAATTGTTGTTCGATTCCACGCATAAATCGATAATTAACATATAACCGGACATATTCCTTTTTGTTTTCTTCTGTTACTTGTATATCTTTTCCACCGGGTTTTAATTCGTGATTTTTCAAGACCCCAAAACTACTATGTTCCACAGAAAATGTGGCATCCAAAACACCATCTATGCTATTTTCTCTGTTAACATAAAAAGAAACGTTAGAATATTTCTTTGAAAGATAATGTAATTGTTTACTTACAACATCCATGTAAGACTTCTGTGCAACTCAGGATCAACACCTTCTATATCACTAAGAGTAATTGCTTTATTGAGTAGCATTTTATAGAATGGGGTGGTGAAACCACCATCTATATGATGCCCATGAAAAACTGCTATTCCTATAATTCTGCCAGCAAAATGAAAATATGATAAATGTTCTGGATTTATCCCTGAATCTGGATTTATTTGTAATGTGTAATTGTCATCTCTTGAATATTGAAACAGTCCATATTGTGGATTTAACATTTCATGCGATAACAAATAAAGCCATTCTCGTGCTACCCCACCATAATCGAGACCTTCTTCTCCTCTAAATTTAACCATAAGTCTTTTACGCATATCTTTTGGACGCATTTTCATAATCAGCCTGTAAGATTCCTAAAAGAGATAGAAGTAATCTTATACAAATGCAATTAAAATTAAATATTGTAAATATTTCATATCGAGAAGATATTGTATTTACTTCAAATATTTCATTTCTTGATACTTCCAATCTACAGTGTCCACTTTGTGGTTGAAGTGCATTTAATTCTGCCCTTAGACATTTTAATTTAGCTACTAAATCCCGCTTATATTTTGGAAGAAGTTCACTCTCCATAAGTTCTTTTGGCAAATCTGATACAGTTTGCGTTGGCGGTGTTGAGGTTTCCACTATGTAAAATATATTTAACACGTTGAACGCCACGCGAATTCTTAAGGAAATCCCTTAAGGAAATCACCGGCGACTGATATTCAACTATTAGTTTCTATAGTAAATAACGCGCGTGGCCTGATTGGGATTTCCTTAAGAATTCGCATGGCGCGCTCAACGTGTTAGTAAATAAAATGAATGAAATAATTATTTTATCATTTAAACTTACATGTCGGTGAATTATTATTGCTTCCATTTTCAATTCTTGGCCTTTGTTGATTAGTGGAAATTTGAGGTGGTATAGATGATACAGGAGTATCTACTGTTACTGGTTCATTAGTTGCTGCAGGTGAATTATTAGGATTTCCAGAAACTTGATTATTTGTGCTGTTGTTCTGCCTCCTACTGATAATTAATTCAAATATTAAATTTTGTTAATTCATATAGTTTATTTATGCGACTGTTCATTTGTAAGAATATTAATAAATATATAAACTTACTTCAATAGATTACTTATGATTTGGCTAGAGAGCCGAGGATCAGTAAACTGTGTTGTTCTGTTGTTATGATCTACAAAATATACACGCCCGCTTTGAGTCTGTCTCATTTCCCATCCACTGGGTAATGGCCCAAGTTCGGTTGTTAACTCATTGGCTGGTAAATCACGTGGTATTCGGGGATCATGCCACGTAGATGTTCCAGTTGGAACATGATAAAAATATACTTGTCCTTGTTGAGTTTTCCTCATTTCTATATAATATAAATATTGCGTTTTTTAAGTATATCTAATATGATAAAGTAATTTATTTTTAAAATTAGATATTTATTTAACTTACCATATCCTCGGGGTAAATCCATAGGTTGAAGAGATTCGTTTCTTCTTTCAGCACTGAGCACTGCATTATTCCTATTTCTGTTGCTTCGATTAGGCCTTCGTGGTTGACCATTGTTAGAACGCTCTATACGACTATTTTGATTTCCATTTTGTTCATCGCTGCTTCTTACAGGTCGTCGATCTCTTATTGCAGACGATGGGGGAGTATTTCTCATATGCTGTTGACTTTGTTGACTCCTATTTTGTTGTTGCGTTGGTGTATTTCTAGGAGTATTTTGAGCTGAACTATCTCTGCTCGGAGTTCTGCTAGACGTTCCTTCTCCATTCCATTCTGGTGTGCTTTGTAAAACAGTAGGGCTGTCTGTTCTCACATTTGGTGGACTGCCACTGCCACTGGGAGAAGTAGGCTCTGAATTAGGTAATGGTGGTGGTTCTGGAGTGGTCGGTATAATAGCATTGCTAGGCCTAGTAAAAAAACAGTAAATATTAGATGATAAATGTAACTAATAAAAAAGTGGTATTAATTTTCAATATTCAAAATAACTACAATACCGATTATTTGGACGTATCCATTGTGTTGTTCTGGTATAATGATTAATATAATATAATCGTCCACTTTGAGTTCTTCTTTCTTCCCATCCATCTGGTAGGTCAGTTGGACAACTTAAATCACCAAGAACGTCAACTACAGCATTATGGCCAACCGTGTTACTCACAGCACCATTATGTCCATCTCTAGATAACAAAGATACAACTATTTGTCCTTTGACAACATCTGTATCTTCGGAATGAGCTTTACAAAGGTCTAAACGTTGATCTAAAAGTAAATAATGTATTTACTTTTAATAATATTATCTATGATTATATAATAATTTTAACATAGAAACAATCAAAGTAATGTTGACGACTTACATCCAGTATCTTTCAATCTTTGTATTGTGTTTGATAATATACGCACACATCCTAAAAAGCCGCCACCTTGTTTCTTATGGATTTTTCTATGATTCCACACTGATATCGTAATGCCATCATTTTTCCCAATATATCTACATAAATATATATTTCTCATATATAATATACGCATGAGATAAATAAATGTAATTGCACTTATGATAAACAAATATTTACAAATCATAATGTTGATTCCATTTTGGAGCTAAAGTAGCCTTGCACGTATCTGTACTGTGACACTGACCAGAACCATCAACAGTTATTTTAGCAAAGGGATCAGGCAGGCCTAAAAGCAAATCATTATCTTAATTGTAATACTTTGGTAAAACCATAAAGTTATTGCACAATGTAATGAGTACTCACGAAATAAATCTTTTCTAGCAAGATTACGGGCACATAAAACTGAAAATATTAAAAAATCGTTATTCAAATGTTAGATCGAATTCTTTTAAAGTTTTTCATTATGTGAATCATATTTTAGTATATTACTACCATATTAAAAAGTACATGGAACGTTATTTCATAGCAAAACATAAAAGTAATGGTAAATGAATGATAAGAAAGAAGATTCTAAAAGTTCAAAGGATTAATTAAGCCTTGTTGGAAAACAACGCTTAATATCATGTTTGATGAATTTTCTTTTATCAGAGTTGAAAAAAAGCATTCTAATATTATACTTCATATACCCTATATCACATTAAATTGTGATTGAAAAAATATCATGTTATTAAAAATACAAATGATAAATAATAATTAAACGATATATTCGAAATTGATATTAGAAAAGATTGAAAATAAACGATTAGAAAAAGGGGGTAAAATTTGTAATAAAGATGATGTGTTATTCGGTCAATTTGTAGATCGTTTCAATCGGTTACACACTATAGGCGTAATCGAGGGAAGAGCAATGATAGGGGAGAGAGAATAAATAATTAAATCGAGAGAGGAGATAGAAAGAATGAACGATTGAGAGGAAACGAACGTCCTTCTCGAAGGAGCCCTCCCGGAGCGCTTCTATCCGTGGGGTTTTGACCTCTGTTAGGGAGTTGCCATAACCAAAAGAATGAAAATCATAGTAAGAGGAGTATTAAATGAGTCTTAGGTGGGGTGGAGAGAGAAAGAGAGAGAGAGAGAGAGGAGGAGGAGAGGAAAAGGGTCCGTTTCTTAAAGAAAATAACCAATAACATAGTAGTAGCATTTTGACATTTCTCGAATGCACTGTATTAATATTCTAATACGGGGGATTATGTTTAATTGAAATCAAATAATTATTTCTTTACATCGAAAGAGAGTAAGAAGAAATAAAAAGCGTATAAGAATAATAAGAAGGATAATAAATGGTGTAAGTGCACGAGGATAAGGTTAAAGTGAACGAACTAACGTAATGAAGGAAGAAAGGAAGGAAGGAAAAGAAGGATGGATGATGGATGAAAAAAAAGGAAGAAGGATCGGAGTCGCGTGCAAGTTGAGTGTTCGGCCAACTTTCACGCTCCTTCTTCTCTCCTCTCTATCCATGATACACGACATGGATTGTATCATAGTTCGGACAATCTTTTATTTCACTCACTCGTCAAACGAATCTTCATGGCCCCGTTCCTCCTGCTACCGCCGGGATTCGACATTTTTCACAAACATTTAACGCTTTTAACCGCACATCGGCACACTAAATTGGTAAATAAAGTTGTTCCTTACGCGGTAATATACATCACACACGCACAACGATCTACGATCGACTGACCTGAGATCGACTCAATACGATTCTCGATTAAACTTAACTCCCGCTTCGATATATCGGTCCGCCATCTTCTTTTATATTTCTAAATCGTTACCTCGAGATTTTAACCGCCATTTTCAATTGTAGGGGTTTATTTTAACGAAATGTTTTTTCTTTTTTTTAAAGATTATTGTTTTATATCTCATTAATTTTCCTTTTTTTTTTATCACATTATAGAGTTTTTAATAAAAATAAAGTATTGGCATGGAATAATACATTTTTTTCCTATAACTCCGTTAATATATATATATATTTCAATTTTTTCTATAACTTACAATATATATATATTTCAATTTTGGTGATATATTTTTGAAAATAATTATTTAGCTAATTGTATTTTTTATAGATTTACAAAAAAAATCTTATAGAAAAATGTAGTCTCTGTCAATATTTTTGTTCGGTATTGTATAATATATACGTAGTGTTATAAATTCATTGATTAAACGATTATTATCGATTTATTATTACTTTGATCGTAGCATTACAAAATATACATAAGAAGAAAAAATAAATTGCTTACATACACGTATGATATTTTTATATGAGCAATATGTGTATCAAAATTACGTGTAATTTTTGTAAAAGGACACACTTATGTCTTAGAATGTGATTGGTGCACTATTTATCGAACATGTAATTTGTGACAATACGAATTAATTGTTATCCTCTAAACTTATTCTAAAAAAAAAAGAGATTGACGCTCAAAATTTGTGTACAAATAACGTTTTTATAAATATCTCAATATAAATCTGTAATCTTCTTTTTCTCTATAAAAAAAAAAAATTGTACTGTGGATTGCAATAAAATATAAATCAGTATTGTAACAAGGCTTTTCATTTTCTATAGAGAAAGATGTTACGTGTCATATAAATCTTTAATTTTTTTTTTTAATATATATATATATATCGACAATTTCATAAAGTAAATAAAGTTTTAATAATTGTTAATAGCAAAAATAAATGGATTTTATATTCTTTTTTGTTCTTTTTTTTTTTTGTACTTTCAATATATTTCGTCCGACCTCCAGTCTATTTTTTATTTGTGATTTAATAATAAGCGTAGCTTCGTTTCTTGACGTTTTCATTTTATGAAACGCAAATTATTTAATATGTATATATATATATATATATATATATANATCTTGTAAGTGTATGCTATTCCATTTTTGTATATATCACCCATTCACATTACGTATAAATATTATACATATATATATATATAAATATACATATAAATATAAAATAAAAAAAGAGAGAGAGAGAGAGAGTGTCAGCTTTCTTTGGCAGTAAAATGTAACATCGATAACACTTCTTAATTATAAACGAAATATGCCAGCATTTATTAAAATCATTGAATGCCGACTATGTAGTCCCTCGATAACGTTGAAAGATGTTTGCACTTTTTTTTTTTTAAGCTTCTCCTTTAAATGTAAGGAAAGCATCAACGAGGAAAAGTACACCTTGAATGATACTAATGGATCCTTTCGCTAAGCCTGTGTCACGAAAAGAGGATTTATAAGGAATTTGATCGAAATACTTGATATTCAAAGCGCCAGCAGCTACGAATAAAGCGCAACCAATCAACGAGAAGAAAAGATCCTACAACATATAAACGAAAAATAAATTCATTATTAAAATGTTACATACAACGTATATGTATTATATATATATAACGGTTTATATTTCTATTATGTGTTTTTTCCATTTTACGTACGTTGTATTGATTATTACGTCGAAATCAATGTTTATGGAAACAAGAGAGAAAAAAGGAAAGAAAGAAAAAAAAGAACAAAATAAGAAAAAAAGTAATATGAATGTAGTATAGAGCTTCGAGTGTATACACCGTAGATACTATTTTCAACGTACCACACGTCGGTTGACCGGAGTTGCCATTAAACTGCCAGCAAACAAACCAACTAGAATAATGAGGTATCCACCAAAGGTACCCATTGTGATCATAGCTGTATGCTGATCTCCCGCGTTAAAGGAGTTATAATGCAATCCGATAAGGATGCATACCAAGATCTGAAAAAGTCAATATTCATACATATATATCTAAAAAGTCAATATTATATAATATATATAAGTATATATGAAATTATACGTTCTTACATTATATGGGTGAACAATAATATTTATTTTATTCATTCACTATTATTAATACTCTCTCTCTCTCACTCTTTTTCAAATTAAATTTATGTAAAATAATATAAAGTTATAAATTTAAATGATTTTATATAATAATTGTACAAAGTGTAATATTAATTTTATACAAATATATCGTACAAGTTTAAAATATTCGAATGGAAGTGACGTTAAAAAAAACTGTGATCTTTTTTTTAAAAACGCGAACTAAACGAAGTCATTGAAAATAAGTACACTGTACTCATCGATATTACTATAAATAATACATTGGGGCTTTTAATGTTTTGTTCCAGTTAAAAACTTTATTCTATTTCCAAGACTATTCGTGCAGCAACAGGTAAGTATTTTCATTATGGACGATCGTACAGACTCGAATCGTAAGCGAAATGACACGTATATACATACATACATATATGTACTTATGTATATACGAATGTACTTCTTCGAATACCATTCTTGGGTCATCTTTAATGTTATATTCATGACGTTTCTCCAACTAAATTAATTAGCAAGAAAATAATGGTGCCATAAATATAATAAAATCTTAGTGAGTGTATGCATAATTGTAAGCGTATTATACAAAATCGGATGCCAATCTTGCGTTAAATTGCAAGTGATTTTTTTATTTTATTACGCACTTTATATATTGCTGATAAATTTATCAGAAAAATGATTCAGAAGATGACTACTATTATATCTTGAATTATTTATGAATAATTTTGTTGAATGAACTTTGATCGAGGTATTATCACATAATCGAATTCAAATAATATTCGTTTAAATATTTTTTTTATGATCATCATCGTAGATAAAGATTTCAAATTTATGATATAAATTATAATATTACGAGACATGAAATATTGTCAATTGTCAAACTGCTTCTAACGAGTACTTCCTTTAGAGTTGTCACTTTCTTTTTTTGATAAACGCATCTGTTAGTAAAGTGAATCAGTTCGAAGTAGAGGAAACGACTCCTGTCTGGAGGATAAATTAATTAACTTCTTTGGACTACGGTGACATTGAATACAAAGTTCTCAATGCGCGTGTACGATTAGTTGTTTTGTTTATATCTATTTTAATGGTATCGGTTATATTATTGTTATTAAACATATCGGTTTCCGATTATCAGAATAAATGGAATAGATATATTACGTTATTATAGCGATAAACGATATCGATTATGCAAACGTATGATCAAGATTTTAAAATTTTAATATATTAAATTAATTCTATATTAATTTATATTTAATATAAAATCTATATCTACGATAACTATTAATCATTAATTAATATTTTCATAATGAATCACGAGATGGATGGTTTAAAAATGTATATAATAGATTGTCGTAAATATACTTACAAGTTCAAAGAACTTTATGATAGTAAGCCTCGAAATGTTGACCATTTTTATTTATCTGAAAACAAAAAAAATCAATAGTATATGAATAATGTTACTGATGTATTATTTGAACGTTTAAAATATAATTTGAACAAAATAATTTTATGACAATGTTTGAATTGATACAATTAACCACAAGTAACATAAGAAATATTAAACCTTTGCCAATCAAGCAATCTTGTTTACATACACGCACACGTGCAATCATACTATTTTATAAACGAAAGACTTAACGAGTCTTATTTTCCGCATCTTGCGAAACCGTTATATAATCTATTGTTTGTTATTATCAGATCGACAAAATAAAATTGTTAACGAGGAAAATAAAGAAAATTGCTTTCCATTCAATTAAACATTAAGTTAAATCAATTCTATTAAATGCAACAATACAACAAAATATTATAAAGGAAAAGGAAACAAATAGTGTTCGATATTAGCATATAAACAAGAGAATAGTTTTGCTTATGGACATGAGTTTGGAAGAAAAACTTAAACATTATTAATTTTTGATAGACTTTATACAAGAAAAGGTAGACTTTTAAGATCGATATGAACGTGCTATGGTTGAGCAGTTTCGTGATACCAAAGGTGACGGTATTTTACGATCATTCGTGATAATACTATATACTCTGATAAGACAGCTTTTTTTTCTTTTTTTTTCATTTCTTTCATTTAATTTTTAACGAGTAACGCAGAAAAATTATTAAATTTTTCGGTAAATGAAATTCACCGTTTTTTGGACTCTTATGTTAGTTTGATCGAATCTAAGTGTAGTTGGTATTAGGTCGACTGACGTAACCCTATACTCCCATACTGTTCTTTTTATAGTAATGATCGGTACGAGGCGATTATTGTTGACCGTATATCCTCTTGATGGATCAAAAATCAATTTTAAGAACGTATATAAACTCTTTTCAATCGAGAAAAATAAACAACAAGAAATCTAAACATAGAGAATAAAGGTGTATATATATATATATATATATATATATATATATACAATATATACAAATATAAGAACAATATATATTTACCGTATATTGTAAATCTTTCGTATATTTTAATGAAATTTCTTTTATTAATAAATCTTCTTCTATACGTATTCAACTTGTTTAAAAAAATCGATCAATAGTTACGTTACGATAGGAAACGATATAACACTATCGATACTTCGACATGAATGGGTTTCCGATCTCTCGTATATCAACAATTTATTTTTCTTATATTTGGTGTTTAAAAAAAATCATATTTTAATGATAAGAATATAAATACAAAAATAGTACTCATAAAACAAGATTTTTCTTTTTTTCTTGGTTTTTGATACGGAAAGATTCGGCATATAAAAACGAGACGTAATTAAAGTACTATATATATCTTTTCCTCTTTCTCTCTTTCTAGATAAAAAATTACAGAACGAATGGGATAAGGTATATATGTATGTGTGTATTCATATTTTTTTTTTATTTGCCAGTCGAGTTTTATTAAAGTCAGACTGTGACGCTTTTAAGTTGGGTCAGTGGAACGAAGCACCATGGCCATGGGGCACCAAAGATGGATAGAACGTAAAAGAAATTAGTAATCGTACGTACATACCTATGTACGTACGAGGTATGCATATCTTTTATATGTGTGTGTTTAGTATTGCGTATTTTCTTGCATGCTCATACTATGCGTCAGATGCTGGAATATTATGTCATACTGAATTTTGTATTTTTACAGTAATCGTAATATAAAATATAATTTTATATTTAGATATTATATTTTTTTATTAACAGAGATATTCATCATTTCACAAATTATATTTGTTATATTGATTATTATATTTTTTACAATTGATGACAAGGTAATCGTTTTAAAAATAGAAAAAAAGATATAATGATTTTAATTATGAATCCTGAACAATGTTTCTTTTTATTTGACCAAACAAGAATAGTTTAGAAGCAGTTTCTTATAAATCATTTTTCACTGCGTGAAACAACGAGTGTTTTATATTTAGTACGAGTTTGAAAAGCAGATAATCGCACGTGTTGTACTCGATGAATACAAGTAATCAATGCGAATCACGAACAAATCGAATAAAACACCGTTCATTCCTATTTGAGTTACCTTAAAATATTATTCCAGAATATCAATATTGATATTCGAGAATTTATTTCTTTTTTTTTTGTGTAAATCGAAATATAGAGAAAATTTGTAATCTATAAATCAATGTGTAATATTTCAAATAAAATGATACAATAACAGTTTATATATTTTTTTAAAAAAGAATCCTTGAAAACTAGGTTATTCGTTGTATGTATGAATATAATTACTTTAACTTTGCTAACGTGATTAGCAACATGCTAGTTAATTATTGAATCCGATTATTCAAAAAAGCAAAAGAAAAATAAAAAGAAAGATAGGAAGGAAGGAACATAATATTCCTTCGGAGACCGTGCATTACAGGAATGTTAACTTTTTTAATTAAATGCTGGGTTATTAAAACCAGATTCGTCCAATAAAATCTGACTCCAATGCATGTGTGCATCTAATTAAACGCATTAAATTTTTCCACAGAGAGAGAAGGTGCTTTTTTTCCCATCTTTTTTAAAGTAATTGAAGTTTCTTTATATGCAGGGTGAATCATTAAATTTGTCTATCTAAATTATTTCAATTATTTTTTATAGCGTTGAAAAATATTGTATACGAAAGTTGTACGATATGAAATGGTATATCATTTTTTTCTACGTGCATGAGTTTGACTTTTACAATTATCCAATTAAAATGTGCTTTTTTTCGTTCGAGACCATATCTCAAAGACAATAAAATGATATTTCTTAGAATTTTTATAAGCTGTCATACAATGTTAACAGTAATATGCTGTTCTATTTAAGAAAAAGAAATGAAAATGACCTTGTAATTATTTCTACGTTTTCATCTAGGAAAAAAGTAGATCACATTAATTCACAATTTTTTTTTTCTTCTTCTTTTATATCGTACAACTGTGTAAATAAAATTTTCTAATATTATTCAAAATAATTGATATATTATAATTTATGTTCCACCCTATACATATATGCACGTAATTCGGTCAATTGAATTAAATCAAGCTATTCTCTTTCGCATAATATTTCTTTTTCATTTCAAATTGTCGAACGACGCAAAATCAGTATATTCGAAGTTGATCCTTTGGGTGGCTATACCTGCTTGTGTGACCTTGAATATAGTAGTATAAAAAACGAAGGATCACAAAGAGAAAGAATACCGAAATGTAGGCATCTCAGGGTCGTAAGCAGTTTTTTTTATAGCAATAGATAATTATGTTTTAGAACTGACAAATATTCATTGTCAGTTTCAGACAATTTTTGATTCCATTATTTTCAATAATACGAAAAAATATTATATACAAGAAATTCTACGATATAAAATGAGATATAATTTATTATAGGCTGCTTTCTTTTCTTTTTTTTTTTACGTGAAGTAGAAATTAACTAACGTATGAAAAATAATTATCTATGATTCTAACCACATCTTTGTATTTTTTTATCAAAAGAGAGATGTTAGGAGCATTGAGGAAGTAACAAATGACAAAGCAATTTATATTTAAAAATTGAATGAGACGTGACTTTTATTTAATTGACCACTCCCAACGAATATACACTATTGCTTGATCAAATAATTGTAATATTATTCAATTTTCAATAAACTAATTAAATATATATGTATATGTGTTCATTTTTTTGAGAGTGGATTAGTATCAATTAAGTTAGTTTGTTTTTGAAAAAAAAAGTAAAGGATTTTTTTTAAAAGCAAACTGTACTCAAGCGTTATATAATTATTATACATTGCAAATTGTTTGAATATATATTCAAATAGAATATATATATTCAAAATAGAGTACTCTTGCGAAATTCTATGCATATGCATATATTGTATTGGCACGTGTCATAAGAAAATGTACGTGTTTGAAAAAACTAAACAATTCTTGATGTTTACTTTGCGTAGATCAAAATGGCACATAGATAATAGCGTGTATCGTCTTTTGAGTCATTTTCTATCGATAACATTAAAGCATTATCACGTATAGTTAAAAAAAAAAATTATGCAATTATTTAATGTAAATCATTAAATATTTCTCATTAACTTATGTATTATTTCAAAATTAATATTGAATTGAAATAAAAAGTTTTCGATGAAAAATTTCATAAGTAATTTATATCTCAACATATTATATTATAATAATATTTAACTTTAAACATTTTGATTAGTTTATTTTATTAATACATCATGCTATACGATAGGCGTTCTCGTATATAAAACAGGTTTACACTTTGCATCTTCTGATCGCGGAACCAATTTATATTTCAAAGGAAAGTCACAAAACCAGGTCAGCCGTAAGACGGTAGTATAAGAATATTTCGGAAACGAAAGAGAAGCGACAACACCACCACGGTTTCTGGCGTCAAAACATGCGGCGAAAGTCGATTTCTTACGACGCATCTTCGTTGACTTCTTATAAATCAATCCACAGCGAGAAAGAGAAAGATATATATACATATACATATATATAATGTGTATACGAAGTTATTTCAAGCGAATAGTACAAATGATATTGAATAAATATTTGTGATATATACGAATTTTGATAAAACGTTCACGTTAACGATAATATACTCACATAAATAAACAAATGTTATTTATTTGTGAACGTATATATATTAATTTTAATTATTAAAATTAAAATTTTTATTTTTATAAAAGAGAGATACCACTTTATATTGATTGAAAAGTTCACTCTTGTAAAACGTGAATTAATATTCTTTAATAGTTCTTTTATTTTATACTTACGTGTTTTGAATCGGCCGGATTTCACGCGTTCGTCGAAAGTTGTTCACGTTACGATGGTTCGACAGCAACTAACGCCGTAACCGAGTAACCAATTTCGCGCGGGAGTGTTCCTCTTAAGCCGTGCTATATACGATTTTCTAAAACACAATGGCGTTTACGAGCATCGCGTCATAGTATGTACTATACGTGTTAGTGTGTAGGAGAGTCTGTTCTATCGAGACTAAGAAATGACTCCTTCCATCTTATCTTGGTCGATGACGGATCTATCTCTGCACGAAATACGTGAATTTAAATGTAAATCCTTTATTTTTGCAATTAATATTATTTACCAATATACACCGGTAGAATATTAATATTTTATTTTAATTATAAAAAAGAAAAAAAATGATCTAAATAGTTAGATGATCCAATTCGATTGTAATTAATGTTATTGTAATATTAACATTTTAATCAATGTATTTATTTTTATTATTAAAGCGCGGATGTAATTACAAGATATATAGATAATACTTATTATGCAAATAATATATATTCGCAGAATGAATCTGAATCATATTAGTGAGTAAAAATGTATATATAATTTAACGATAAGTTTTGATAACGAAATAATGCGAAAAAAATATTCTTTAAATATTTGCAATCATTCTGATAACGTACATTCATTCATTCTAATCTTTCTGTTTTTTCTATTTTCTTAGACTAAAAATATTTATTACATTCTATGTTTCGTATTGATATGTATGTAATTTTGATTTCGTTTCTATTTATAAGAAATAACTATGGTAAATTAATTGTTATTTATTATGCAACAATATATTTTGGGAGACATACAAAAATGAGATTTGAATCGATTTTCTTGATGTTAAATATTTTCGAAACGATATTACGTCGTTAATTAGAAGTATGACGTCAACCATGGTGTGTCACATCTGCAAGAAACGCAGGAACACATTCGATAGTATGTGTGGCACGCTCGAGTACGTGCTTACGTATGCGTGTAGGAACGCACTCATTACGTCACATTACTTAATGAACCTTGCTTACCTAGTAAAGAAATGCTTTAAAAGGATGATAGATTTGAAGAATTAATAAAACAGTTTCACGATAACCTTTTATATCATATATTTATACTATATTGTGATTGTAAAATATAAGTAAATAAGAACAAATATTATATTAATATTTAATAAAATATCGTATTAAGTATTTATCGTAATATATATATTCGTGTTTTTTTATTTTTTAAATTTATATTTTAATAAAAAAATCATCTGTACATACGAAGTACTTATTTATTAATATAATCTCAGTTTACCTAATACAACATTTATTTTCAATTAATTATATGTAATATTAACTTATAATCATGATTTAATAATATATTTGTTTTAATATATATAATTTTGGGTGTGAACAAAGTTTGATTACAATTTACAATGCAGATTCGCACAAAGCAATTAATTTTTACCATAATCCAATCTCCAATTTACTCCATACAACAATCTGATCTAATAATAATCCAATAATCTAATAATCTACTAATTCCTATGCTGCTTGTATCTTTATATAGTCTAGCCGACCCGTTAAATTTAAATACAATCATTTATCGATATTGATCAAATTTGAAATTCAGCTATTGTCAGAGTAGTGTAGAACCTTTTAATTACTAATTTTCTTATATAATAGTGCATACAAAAATCATAGAGATTCAAGAAAATAACGCGCAAATAATTTATTAAATTCTGATAACACATGGTAAATATGTAAATAAAAAATATATTATATAAAATATTTTTTATACAAAACGTATAAAAAATTATACGTGTTAGTAGTATTATATGTATATGTATTGTCAGTTGAGTCAGAAAAAGTTCGAAAACATGACGCTGCAGACAATATCATTCTCTTATTTTTGCCAGATAGGTTTGTTAGTTATGCGCATGCGCGACAATTTTTTCAATCAAGACAAGAGGCGGTAATAATTCTCCCGTTAAAGCATTGAGAAATGTATAATTAAAAATATTCTTATAAAAGTATAATATACATATATTAATTATAATTATTCTAGTTATTATAAAATATATTATATAATACAGTTTATATAATTTTGTAATATATATTTATATATTTTGTTTCCCGATTTTATTTGTATCTATAACATGTCGCATGATTCAGTTTCATATTTAACCGATTGCGCACAATACTTTACGCTCAACGGGTAAAGTAACTTCCTCTGTCCTTTTACTTTATTAATGAGTTTTACCACATTTACGGGAATTGACAATATATATATATTAATACTCCATATATATATACAAAAGATCTACATGGTCGAGATCGATCAATTAAATTAGAAGTTAGAAACGTCGATAGTTGGTATCATGTTATGGTTTTATTTCGTGGTAGGCTACAGCAGCGTCACCGATCGATAGAAAATGAAACTACATATCAAGATGGTAACTGTAGTCAATAGTTGATATTTATAGTGGTCAGAAAACATTAAAAGAATTCGTTTATCGTCCAGACATGGACATCGACTATTCTTTTATTATTAATTTAAAAAATGTTGAAAGAAAAACTATAGAAAAAAAAAAAATATAAATATACAACTCGCAAGAAAAGTAAGACGGCTTGAAAGAAAGTTTGTCTTTTTCTTGGATAACAATATAATTTCACGTTCCTTCGTTATAACGTTTCTTTTTATACTGGAAGAACTCACCGAAGCTTTTTACCGCCGCTAATGAAGCGCAGCACGATGCAACAAAACTTTCTTTCCTTTCCATTTGTTCTTTTTACTTTTTATGGAAGAATTTTGTGTGTGTTTTCTTTTCTCGCTTTGTTTTCTCTATCTTTTTTTTTTTTTTCTTGACACGGACTTGAGAAATTAGGTAACGAGCTTTTCAAGGCGAGGAACCGTGGAACAAGTAAACTTTAAGTGACATGAACGTTTCTCTATTTTCCGAATAGACAGGGTGAACTCGTACGTTGTATATACGTATGTATTTACGTATGTATATATATATATATATGATATGTACATATATGTATATATGTGCATACATATATATATATGTATATGGTCTAGCCTGTAATAACTTGCAACATTTCCGTGGCTAATTTATTTATCATCCTGCTGGATGTAGGACCCTCTCGGGAATGTACGGACTGCTGCTGTGGACGACGAGGACGAACGCGGGAAGGAAGACATTATACTGCCGACAATGCTCCGAGGGCAGTGTATAACGCTTTGCCTTGTCACACTCCCGTCTGCTCTACAAAACTTCTTTTCCGAAATTTAAAATGAAATCGTCCATGTAATGTTCATCCTTTGTTTAATTTAAGTCACCCTGTACTTTGCCAACCTGACCTCTTTTTTCTTTTTCTTTTATTAATTACAAATTATGATTTTTTTACAATTACTTCGTTCTTGTTACTCTAATCCTATTATTCAACGTAAACGCCATTAATATCTATAATTATTACCGATCTTAATATTTTAATATTATTCAATTTTTTTCTTTTATTAATTCATATTAGAATCTATAAGGAAGAAATTGTACGAAATAAAATGACACCTGTGTTATTTCCTACATCGTCCGCGCGATCCAATAAGAAAATAATTTCTCGAATTATATTGACAAGTAGATATTTCTCGATGATATATAACTGACACGTGTATCTACGTCGATACTTGTTAAAATTCTTTTCCTTATTTTGAAACGATGAAGACGTTAAGATTCATCCCAACCGATATTCTCACCGAGCAATATTCACCAAGACGTTATTCCTGCCACGGTAGAATTTCGAAAGCGACATAGGTGCCATAAAAAAAGTCACTACGCGGTGATTTAGGGCAAGGGACGACGAAGTGACCCAGGAGTAGTATGTCGCGTTCCAAGAGAAAAGGAATGACAGAAGAAGAAGAAGAAGAAATAGAAGATGAGAGAGATGAGGTGGGAAGGAGGGGTGGGAGGGGGGTTTTGGTTTAGGAAAGGGAAAAGGAAGAGGAAGACGTCGGGTTCCATTCGAGTGGTAGACTGGAGTAGCAATAAAAGTCAGTGACTTCGGGTAATCGAGAAATCCACCCCAACGATTCGATACCCCATTTCTATGCGATCGTTTCGAGAGCTGCTCGACGCTTTCTATGATCGCGTAGAAACGCATCAGATGAGATTGGACAAGTGATCTCCTTCGAGAAGATGATTTTTTTGCTGTCCTTTCTTCGACATCTAAGGTTAAAGTGTCCTCGCTGACGATGAAATCTTAAAGATCCAATTTCGCGATCTGTTTTGTTTTCTGACCTTTTTTCTTTTTATTTTAGAATGATCGTAATTCTTATTCTAAATGAGAGATTTAAAGGAATACGAAATTTACATAGGTGAATGATACTTTATTATTTTTGTTTTCTTTTTTTTTTTCGCGTTGTTTTTATAAATGATTATTAGTATATCATCATATACGGTGTAAATCAGAAAAGATGATTTTTTTATTATCAATGATCAATTATAGTATTTTACCAAGCACGTAAACGTTCGCGAGCATAGGATCGGTACATGTTATCCATTATACTGGACCTGCTGCTGTTCGATGCCGAGTTATTGGCAATAAAAAGAATGAAAAACAGTATACCCTTGTAGCTATATTGTATCGGCAACATCGGGTACGAATATCCGCGCGATCAAGAACCGTTTCGGATGAGACTGTTGAACGGAAAAGTATTGGGTTTGTAACGTCTATGTGGATTATTATTTTAGAAATCAGAGATATGCTTTCTTTGCGATTTAACTTTTACGAGACGACGTTTTAGATTTCTCAAATATTTTTATAACAGTTGTTTCTTTATTTTTTTTTTCTTTTTTTTTTTTTTTAATACACTAATATTTTTGATTACACAATAAAATCCCGTAAAAATGACGATTTTCTTGTATATAAAGCGAATCAAATTTGTTATTTACTTATTTTAAAAAAGATAGTTCAATGATTACGTTTCAACAAAATATTTTAAGTTGGTGAAAGAAACAAATGGATGCAATTTGAATAAAGTCAGTCGGTGGCTGGGGGAGCGGGGTGGGGTGGAGGGGAGGAGGTTCAATTCAACTCG